ATGGTAGTTATACTCATGTGTTCAATCACTATGCAAACGGGAAGTCACAAATGAAAATTACTTTACAACCATTAAGTAGTACGCAATTACATTTAGCAAATTACAATTCAGTTATAACAAAAATTTATCAACAGATAAGGATTAAGTAGTCACAATTGTATTAGATATTAAATTTCAAATATGTACAATTAATCAATTAAAAACCATATATAGTTAACATACGTATCATTTTAAGCTAAACTACAAGCTCTGCATAGCTAAGTTACAATGCATAACATTAAGTCACAACAAACAGGTTGTTTCAAATAAGTCATTACAAGTAAGTCAATGTCTCTCCATGGCTTCCGTACATAACGGAATATTTGGGAAGGAAAGATAAAGAAATGGGCTGAAGGTCCTTTTACCTGTTTCTCTTTCTGGATGAGGATAAATCAATTCATCGATTTTTCGTTAGAAATATTAGTAAAATGCTGGATTTTAATTAAATCTAAGTCCAGATATTTCCTTTTTTAGTGCGTTAAGTACGTCTATGGAAAATATGTTGATGTACATTTTTAAAGCACTTAAAAAATGTTTCAGTGCGTTGATTTTGTCCCAGTTTTAAAGCACTTAGGATTTTTTTTTCAAAGCGCGTATTTCAAAATGTGGTGCCACAAATCTTTATATTCTAGAAAATGAATCATGAAGCATATACTCTAAACTGCAATGGAATTTCTCAGCTTATGAAATAATTCAAATGTAACTAACTTGAAACCTACAAAACACTTATTACAAATTATTTGTCATATTTAGGAAAGTGAAAATGTAGAATCGGTCGAATTTCAAGGATACTTTAATGCACTTACGTGAATAAAAAAGCATACCTCGGTAGACGGAGAAGTAAAATAATGCAATTTACATAAAAATAATGAAGAGAGATATCTCTTTTTGCTTGCGAGATACCAGTACCGTTTTGGACGCTTTTGAAAGATACCTCTTTCACTGTAAGAAATATCTCTTAAGATAAACTTAAGAGAGATATCTCTTTTACTTTGAAAGCTATCGCTTTTACTTGGAAAGACATCTCCAAAAGCAAATGAGATATATCTCTAGTTGAAGGTGAAAGAGACACCTCTTTAAGTGGAGGAGATATCTCTCGTAAAAGAGATAAATCTCTTAGCAAAGAACATTCTCTCCAAATATAAGATATCTCTTAAAGTTGAGAGATACCCTTTTGTATCTCTTTCAGTTAAGGGATATCTCTATTTTTTGTATCTCTCTAAAATGAGAGATATCTCTGTAATTATGAGATTTATTTATTTTTTGAATAAAAAGAAAAATGGTTAGTCATAGCTTGAACAGACTAGAGGTAATGATTTGTTTCAAGAAAGTAGTACTGATTCAGAAATTTATAAGCGCTCCCCATGTTTGTAGATATGACGAAATGATAGTCTACATAGGTCTACCCAACTATGTAAAATTAAGACCTATGTAGACTATCGCGCGATCATTTCGTCAGTCATCTACAAACTTACAAACTGAAGGAAAACGAAATTCAAGTAAAGATTTAAACAAACTTACTTGGTCGTGTTTGAGTTGGACCACTGAGTCCAGAATTTGACTCCAAAAGGGACTTTTTTTTTTATTAATGCACGTATTATACCCTGTGAGGTGGCGATCACACGTGTCGCTCTGGCACTAAATTGTCACAACCAAAGCAAGATAAGTGCTTAGAGAAAGTTTGATTCGAAACATTATTTCGGCAATACAGTGAATTTTAAGAAAGCTCTGTCACATACCGTATAAGTTGAAATTTTAGCGAGACGCAAATTTAGCGATTGAACCTTAAAAAATAGTAATTTATTTTTAGCGAGATGTAATTTTAGCGATTTTTAAAAAGCTCACTAAAGAACCTATTACAAATAAACCAAATTAATAATTAGCGATATTAAATTTTAGCGATCTTGGCACCCTCGCTAATAATGCGAAAATTAAATCCTCGCTAAAATTTCTACTTATACGGTAGTATATCATATACATGTACATACAAGTATATCTGACATTCTTTATACATCATAATGATGAATTTTTGCGCTGAATTATGACACATATCATCAAAGATTACGGACTACATTGCATGATGGCCTAAAACCACTCTAAATATTTTTTTAGGCTGAGTAGTAATTTCATAATAACAAGTGTTCAAAAATTTCACTCCTTTTCTTTTAATTTACCTCTTGTTTCTAGCTGCAGATCTCTAGCTCTCTGTTCTGAAAAAAAAATGAATGGACCTACGGTGAAAAAAAACGCTCGCATCCTAACATCCAGACATGCATTTGGTCAATTGCATACTTATACAGTGTGTTGTAAATTACTGCTTTACAGTCATTGTTTGGTATTTATTTAACAACAAAATTCACTCCAAAGAAGAAATGTTCTTAAACAGTTAAATTGAACATATTTGAACCTGTCATTTTTCGTTGAAAGACATGTTCTTTATTCGTGACTTACAAAAGGACAAGGTATGGTTACCGCTGAATCTGGCCCCTTATTTGATGTAAAAATCAGAACAGTAAAAACTGTGCAAGTTTGTAGTTAAGAACTTAAATTGATGCTTGTTTGAAAATAAGCACTTATTTCGATTCAAAGCATATATTGCAGGCTACTGGATGGTGTAGAAAAAGTACGACTTCCTGATTTTTATCAATTCTGGTGGAATTTCGTCAAATTTGAAATATTTTTCATTTCGGAAAACATAGAGCACAACCTTGCCTATCTGAAATTTTTACACACAATATGCACCTGATAGTAGTGTATGAAAAATATTGATTTGGTAGATAGACAAGCTTTTGCTCTATGTTTTATGAAAGAAAACATGTTGTAGAAATGCTTAAAATTTGCATAAAAAATGAGAAAATTTGGGAAATGACATATTATCTGACCTTCCTGTGACCACTTTGTATCCCATACCTTAGAACCAATACTCATTTTGTGGCAGGAGTGATACATGTAAGTAAATTTCAATTCATAAACTGTTGCATCATTCTAAAAGACACCCCAAACCAGAAGCCAATAGGGTTTCTTACCCTATCTTGTCCTTTGTTACCATAAATCTCTGGGTGGTGTTTCATATTAAAAAAATAAGTTTCCCTTCACTTAAGCTAATGCAGAAAATGTATTTAATTATTTGAATGTGTTTTATAAAAGTCATTAGAAGCACGTCATTAACGGTAATGTTAATAAAAGTGAACTGCGTCCATACTTATATGCAGAATACAGCACTAAGTTTAGTTAAAGAACTAGATTAGCGAAATTCACAAAATTTACGTGTACTTCGGGGTAACATCTTCCATCTTTAAAAGATAAGCCAAATTTATTTGGTCGGATCAATAAATAAAATAGGGGGTTACAATGACATTATTTAATAAAGATTCTGTCAAAGTTTCATTGAATTTCATTCAGAAGTATATGTGAGATTAGGAGTCGCGGATAAGAGATGGGTACCCAAAGCGTAACAGACGGACGGACGGACGGACATACCTATAACTATATACCCTCCCGCGTTCATGGGTGTCAACCACTGCATAATTATTTTAAAATTTTATCCTGTTCAATGAGAACATCTGTTACTTAATGAAATGCAACGTGTTCCCTTGCTAACAGGTTAAAATAACCTAATTGGATAGCCGAGAGAAAGAACTTTAAAAATCATATCTGTTAATTAATGTAAAAGATGAATTATGCTGCTCTAGAAAATACTTCAAAAATTATCTCTTAGTAGATATCCTGCTGTTTTGTTTACATTACGACGGATTTGAAATAGTGTACTGTACTGCATCACACTGCAAGAAGAACACGAAACATTGTTACTTGGACTCTTTTCAGTATTAACTTTGTGTTGTGCTACCGCTTTTTAAAAATGCAAACAATTCAATAACTGGATGCTTTTAACATTTTCGCTTCCAAAAATATGATATATCAGAATTAACTTCTTAAAGACTTTGTACGAACAATGAAATCACGCGCAAGTAAAGGGCCCTCCACCGAACAATGCTTCTGAAAAAAACAACACTTTATTGTGTATTAGATCATTTTTTAGGAATTAAATGTGATGTGTAAAAAAAAAAATAAAATTTCAAACGAAAACACCTGTTATATTTTTAGTTTTCTTGCAGATCATTGTTTAAAACATTGAATGAACTAAACGCGAATCTAAATATGTTTAGAATTGTGTTTTAACTCCCAACAAGTAAGTATTTAGGTTTAAAACACATTCCATTTTATGTATTGAAATTCGACAAGTGAAAAATTTAAATGCATTAAAAAAGTGAATGTGCTTAGAAATGTGTCTATCATCTATAATCACGTATTTACGGGGCAATCAAAACACAGGAAATCAATAAATATTTACATCCACTGAATATTTTTCCCTTTATTTCTTATGAATACCTTTGCAATTAATCAGTGCATGAACAACACTGAGCAAGCCAAGTGTGTAGTTTTCTTTAAACAATGGCTGTTCCATCAGTTTTACATGCAATGACATATTCATTTTAAAAAACAATAGTTAAGAAATTTAATTTTACTTTGAATGATTAATATATTTTGATACAGGTGTAAATATAAACAATAAAATGCTTTCTTTGGTTGTTAGTACGGAAATTACTCAGGAATGTCGTAGCTATTGCAGAAAAAAATACATAACCCGCGTAAGCATTTTATTTAAATAAATTCGCACCTGTCAGTCACTATTTTGTATCAGAAATTATACTGTGATCTTTGAATTCGCCCCATTTAAAACTCGCCCACCTTTGAGTAGGGCGAAGGGGGCGAAAATAAAAAGGGGAACGAAAATTTCCCTGTATACAGTATATAATAACAATATGTTTGTGTGTTTCTGAAAAAATTCCTATGATCTAGAAACTGTACTCACTGGTTACTAGTTATAAATAAATGACAATAATTTGAATATATGTAATGTACGTTTACAACTTTATTCAATTGTTACAAATAAATATGCTTCAATTGATTAAAAATCCTGAGAAGTGAGAGTGATAATGGTTTCCAGCAATGTGGGAAAACCCACTTCCTGTGGTTCTGAAATTCAGGTTTACTTTGTCTCCCTTTGAAAGCTCCAGTAACGTATTTTCCGATCTTTTGATCCATAAACCTTCAGTTCCGATGAACAGGTACCCGGAGATTTGGCCGTTCTTCATGATATTTATCCGTACGTAGTCCTTGCCATTTGCGGAGGATGGGGTTGGAATGCTTACAGTGACCACGAAGAAGTATGACCCGGGTACGGGGGCGGTAAAGATACCAGTCTTGCCGTTGTAGGCTCCTCCCTTATTGGTGAGAACTTTGTCAAAAATGAGAGTTCCAATGGTGGGTTTGATATTTTGTGAAGCAGTCGCCATAAATGCCACATGTTGAGCTAAAATAACAGACAAGTCATTTATACTGAATATTAAAATTATAATAACTTGCAAGTTTCGAGATTTTATAGTTCTTCAATGATAATACATAGAGGCAATTTAATGTTTTAAAAACACCTAAGATTATACATGTTTATAATGTCAAGAAGTGCTAATTTTGATGATTATATCTAGCTATACTTTGTTTGTTTGATACTTAAACAAAAGAACCGCCATAGTCTTTTTGATGAGGACGCTTACTTGATGGTACATTCCTTTTCTTAAATGTATGTAGATTCTTGAATTATTTTAAAGGAAAGTGTCTGTTTGTAAGAATACCTTTACTTTAGGAATCACTGTCTAGTTTCATGGGTGTGCCAGGCGCATCAAAGATAGTTGGAAATGCGGGATAATTTGCATATTGGGCGAAGCATTCAATAGTCCCCGCCCACTAACGTCAGAATGCACAAAATTAACATTTGGCCTTTCACATGGTGCAAATTTACATTCAGGTTTATTTATCAAGAAATCAACTTAATTTCAAAGAGTTATTACAGGAAAAAAAACTAGAAATGTAAATACATCTTCAAACTCGGTTAAAAAATATTTTCGAAATGATAAGTGTAAAAAAAAAAAGTTATGATAGACCGGCATTTCGATAATGTATCTTATCCAATATAAACTAGAGGTATTGTGAGCAATGAGCTCACTAAATGATACCCCCTGCCTCCGATCCCATATGGTTATAATGGCAAACTCCATGTTTTGCTGTGGCCGGGAAACCCAAAATATGTGTCGGATCAAAAAGTAAAATAGGAGGTCACAATGGCAATATGTAATAAGGATTTTGTGAAGGTTTCATTAATTTCACAAAGTGGTATAACAGGAGTTGCGGATAAGAGATGGGTACCCCAAAGCGTAATAGACAGACGGACGTACAGACGGACGGACGGACATACCGATTACTATATACCCTCCCACTTTACAAGCGGGGATATAATGAATGCCCATCCCCCTCCGTAACGTACTATAATCTCGAAACTTGCGTATAAGTGGTTTGCTTACTGAGTATATCATAAAAATGTAGAAAACTATGAGTAATAAAAGAATTAAACAAACTTACATGGTTGTGATCGCTCAGTGCACGTGGATGCGACTTTTGACTCCAAAACATTTAGTCTTTCTTTAAGACACAAATTATACCCCTTAAGTTCACTCAAGTCCGAAGAACCGCAGCATACCGTCACCACCAAAGCTAGACAAACACTAAGAAAAAAATTGATTTGAAGCATATTGTTTGGTAAGTAACACTTTGAAAAAAATCTAAAATCTTTGGCCTTAAATATATGACTATATTGCATGGCTTTTATAGGTACACTGTACATGTAATACTATATATAGTACATGTATATCATAATGATGGATTCTCGTGTTGAAACAACGAAACCTGATATCCAAAGTGCCACATCTAAACAAAGGTGACAATTTACATCACAAGAACGTTTAACGTTATTGTCCCCCGCTTTCGCGAAAGCGAGGGGACATTAAATCTCATTCGTCTGTCCGTCTGTCCGTCCGTCACAAAAACTTTAACCTTGCCCATATCTTTTGATTTAGTGGAGCTATGACTTTCATATCTCACAGGTGTATTCCTTGTGACAAGACCTTTCTTTGGGTACCACCAAATTTGACCTTTTGACCTTCACCTTGGAGTTTGACCCACTTTTACTCAAAAATTCCAAACTTTTACTTTGGCCATTTCTTTTGAATGGTAGGTACTAGGACTTTCATATTTCACATATGTATTCATTGTTTGCAAGACTTTTTATTGGATACCAACAACTTTGACCTTTTGACCTTGACCTTGGATATTTCCTTACTTATGAAAAAAACTTTAACCTTGACCATAACTTTTGACTGGTAAGTACTAGGGCTTTCATACTTCATACATATAATTCATGTGAGAAGACCTTTCATTGAATACCAAGAACTTTGCCCCTTGGACCTTGACCTTGGAGTTTGACCTACTTTTCAAAAACATTGACCTTGGCAACAACTTTTGAACAGTAAATACCAGGACTTTCATATTTCACATATGTATTTGTTGTGGCAAGACCTTTCATTTGATTCCAACAGCCTTGACCTTTTGACCTTGACCTTGGAAATTTTTTGTACTTATGAGAAAACTCTAACCTTGACCATAACTTTTGAATGGTAAGGGCTAGGGCTTTCATACTTCACATATGTAATCCTTCTGAGAAGACTTTTCATTGGATACTAAGAATGTAACCCTTTGACCTTGACCTTGGAGTTCAGTGATAATTTCTAAATAGATGACTTATGATAGCGCATTCATATTAGACACAAAATGTCATTAAAAAATGACATATCACCCAAAAAGACACCGAGAGCGGGGGACCACAATTCTTTGAATTTGCTTGTTTTTATAAAGTTTTCAACATTTCTTTTAGTGGCAAAATCATAATCAATTTCCATTTAGAAATATATGTATGTAGTGAATATATATAGAACCATGTAAATCATCAATCAGATTAAAATCAGATCTTTAACATGCACTATACAAATCGAAAAAAAAAATCTTCAAATCAGTGCCCAAAAGGTTGATCTTTCTTTAAAAATTAACTGTCCAAGACCCAAAGCCCATTTTCAAACATGATGAATAGAGACCTAATGCTTTCATATAGGCCTACGGTTTCCTCTGAGGACCAATGTATTGAAAAGCAGACTTAGTGAAAATGTTATGTTTTTGAATTTTAATTGAAGTAAATGGGAGTACTTGAGAACCTTCTGCAAGGAAATAAAATACGAGGCAACCACTCGACCCAAAAGTAAACAAAAAAACCTTGTTTATAATTTTTGTTCTGAAACAGTTCTTTCATTTTTTTAATTTAAATTGGGGTCTGTGCAAGGTTTTTGGTCATTTATAAAATGTTCAACTAAAACTGGGCAATTTACCTTTGTCAAAGGGCCCTAAGTGAAGCTTGTTCTTTTGCCTTGATGTTATTGACAATTTTCAAAAATTAAAATTTATCTGCAAAATGCTTTTAAAAAATCGGTAAGAGTTATCTATCTTATCAGAGAACCGGGATTTAAAATTCCGTACGTGTAAATTGGTAGAGTTAGCTCCCATAATCACTGCTAAACAACTTGCAGCGAACAAAATCGATTTTTCTGTGGAAAAAGAGACTGATATGTTATTTTACATTATGTAATATTATTCTCTCATTATAAATCATGTTACCATTATCGGACTTTCATTGGACTTCTTGTAAATTTCGGTCAATGTTATGAACAATGATGCCCGAATTATCTCCATCAGTAAACCGCCCACTATGAATTGGTGAATGGGTAAGTAAATTTAAATTAAAACAGCATAACCCACTAATGTAAAATTGCGTTTTAGAATAGATCTGTGTGTTGGGTTGCTGTTTTTATGTGCTGCTTCTGCTATATAATTAGGGGACATGCAGTTTATCGTGTATTGAACATCCTTATTTGCTTCTAAATATAGCTTTATTGCGGGAACTGGTGTTTCTATCACAAATTTCTGTAAGTTGCCTGTTGTTGACAAAAATATTATGAAAATATAAGGTTAATATTTGATATGTTATGAGAAGAATAAAATTGTTGTTGAATGAAATCCATGGAATGATGGACCTTTATCTTGTTTATCAAAATAATGATTATTTCTTTGTTATGCTTTCGAATATAGGTAAGCATCAAGGATGCCTCTTGGTGTGTTCATTGAAGCAAAATATAAAATAAGCCTTGCAGTTATTGAAATAGTCAGAATTTAATAGAAAACTCTTTATAAAAATAACAATATCGTTTTTATTCTGTAGGTAGATGATGATCAGTATATCGATGTCTCATCCAAAATGTATGTAACAGCTTCAGTTATGAGAAGTTCACCCAGACTATGATAAGAGGGGCCAGGCAGGGTAATCCAGTAGAATGTTGGTGACAGCTATCCTCTGCTCCTTCATCCTTGGCGTTGTGGTGACACTGATCGTTCAGTTCCTCATCTTCAAGTATCACCTGAGTCACACCCCAGTGGAACCAATCAAACATCGGCCACAGTTCACCGACTTCAAACTACCAAAGGTGCAGACTAACTATATAAAACTCACAATAAGATTAAAATACAATTGAATTTTAAAAATATTTAAGACATTTTACTAGATAGCTTGAGATTTAATATAGTCAAAAGTGATTAAAAGAGATATATTGGTGTAAAACAATATAATTTCTATGAATAAAAGTCTTACTTATGAGAGCGCATGTTAGACTTGATTAAAACATATTGCGTTCATCCACAAAAGGGAACTTGGTTACATGCTAAGCATGGTCATTCATTGCAAACAATTTTTTAAACAAAAGTTAAGTAATCTTGCAGTCAGGAGTGTTCATTTTAGAAATTGTAGGACATTTAAAGATACATTTATACATATATAAAAATATGTCAAATCATATAATAAAAAAATGTTTTTGTTTTAAGGAATTGTTGAATGCAGCAAATGAAAGTAAAAAGAAAGAGAAGAAAGAGAGTTGTCTGGCCTTTAATCTGATCATCAGTTTCTTGTTTAGAGAACTGAAGGATAAAAAACTAATGAGAAGGTAAGATTCTGGTTTTGTATATTATACATGTATGACTTATTTTTCAATTATGTGGTGCCTCATTTTGAACAAGGGTATAAAAAATGAAATAGTGCACTTATGTGGATTAGAAATTATTTAGACTGATTGAGTTTGATCTATGTTTTACTCTAGTAATTGCCTGTATCCAAAAATTATTCATTTTGAGAAATTAAGAATATATACTTAAAACATTCATAACATACTGTGTACCGTAAAGTGATACTTCAAAAGCTGAGATTAAATGATGTGACCTTAGAAGACTCTGAATGAGCAATGTGGAATTCAATATCTTTATGCAGAAACATTCAATGCTAGAGAGGAATTGTATTATAACTTGAAACTTTTAAAACAGATGGGTAATCAAGAAAATGAACGCAGAGTTTGCCGAACTGATGCAAAAAACAGCTGGTAGAATCCTGGAACAAATAACAGTAAGCCTGACTTTAATATGAAATTTCACCATAGCAACAATATGTAAATAAAGATATGCATATGAGGATAACAAAAAACTTTAATTCTATGAAAGTAAGAGGGATGATGAAACTTAAAGAGAACTTGAATGTCTTTATAATTGTAGCACATCTATCCTATTTTTTTTCTTTTTGTTATACGAATTATAAGAACCTTTTTTCATGTTTTTTTTTATTTGTCAAAACAGGTTCAAGAATTCAATTTGGGCCCTTCATTCCCAGTCATCAAGTCAGTAACTGTCAAAGATACCCAAATAGAAAATGATGCAATCGATGTAAGTTACCTTAATCACTGCCCATATAATTGTTAAATAAATATATCTGTTCACTGCTCTTTTCTTTTAATCAGCAAATGGATTTATAATTAGCCCTTTTTACTGGTTTACAGAAATTAGATGTAGAAGTTGACCTAGATTATAAAGGAGGATTCCAGTTAGCCCTGGGAATTGACCTAGTTCTTGGGAAGCATGTGTCTCTGTCGGTCACTGTTACAAACCTTCGGGGGCGGGCCAGACTACAGTTCTCGCACAAGCCGTACACTCACTGGTCCTTCTCCTTCTACGAGGAGCCCCAGATAGATTTCCAAGTGGAGTCCAAATATGGAGGGAGGGCCACCCCACAGCTTACTTCACTTATAATCACACAAGTAAGGGGTGAAATTTGCAGGATATATAGACATATTTAATTCATTGTAATTTTGTGAGAGTTAATAAAACTATTCGTAGACAGCATGGGTGTAATGAGTTCTCACTACTGGTATTTTAATATCGAAAAATAATTTCAGAAATTTGTAAGGTTAAATTATATGTCAAATGTAATGTGCTTATGAGTACAGTAAATCATAATTATCTCAATTCAATGGAACCAAGCATCAGCGGATTCGAAATATTAGGGTTTGAATACATGAAGAAAATGTAGTTTGGATTTCCAGTGGATTTTGACAAAAAATTAATAGTATTTGATATACTTGTAGCAATGTTTTAAATCCATTATAGTTCACTTAATTTTGCTGTTGGAAAGCTACTTGACAGTGTAATATAATAATATAATTTTCCTGAAATGCAGCCATACAGTATAATTTTTTCTGTAGATAAAAAGAACCATAAGGAAGAAGCACACTCTGCCTAACTACAAGTTTAGGATGAAGCCATTCTTCACTCCCCCACCACCCCGAGTGCCACAGAAGGACCTTTTTGTGAATGGCACAAAAATAGGTCAAGGGAAACTGACTGTGACCATCAAGAGCTGTTCACGGTTGATTGATGTTCCAGCAGACTCCATGCTCTACTGCACATTATCCATTGGTAAGGAAGGCGCTTTACTGCATGGCTATATAACAATGGTAGAATTGTAATTTGAACAGAATAAAACCTTGCTGTTTATAGTGACAACATGAATTTTATGGGGATTTTAAAGAACAATTATTCAATTTTGGGCAAGGGATAAGAACCATTAGTCATTTCAAAAGTTTAACATTAGGTTTAATATTCACACTATGACACATTAACATCATGTTTGCATCACATATGTTTCAAATTTACACACATATTATACATGTATGTTATTAGATAGCTGTCCATGGTTGGAGTTGCTTGAAAAGAAGAAGAAGATCTGGGTTATACAAGATGTAGAAATAATAAAGGGCTCAGCAGAATCAGCAGGACTCAGCTTAAAAGAGGTATGTATAAAAATAGGGCATGGAAAATATTCAGATCTCTCACTGAAACCTTCCTCAAAACATGCATTAATGAATTGTATTTCAAAATTAAAGTAATTTTTAGATCATGGGGAGTTTAGTATGTAACTGAAAGAGATGCTGCCAGGTCCTTTGTTGCTAATAGTGATATTAAAAGTGAAGTTACTAGAATATGTTAATATAAATCCAATTTTTTTTATCCTTACAACAATCAGGCTTGGTGATTATAATTTTACTCCTTAGTTGGCTAAATCATCATATTGACCTTGAAAACAGCAGTAATTGTATATTGTAAATCTGACTTTTCTGTTCTGGCCACAGGATTTTTTACTGGACAAGTATGAGGATGCTGTTTTGGTGGACTTTGTAACTCCTGGTTCTCCTGCTGACCAATCAGACATTAGAAAGGTAACAACCAATCAATTTATCAAACCAAACTGACCAATCAGACATTAGAAAGGTAACAGCCAATCATTTTATCAAACCAAACTGACCAATCAGATATTAGAAAGGTAATAACCAATTATTTTATCAAACCCTTCTGACCAATCAGACATTAGAGAGGTAACAACCAATCATTTTATCAAACCTTACTGACCAATCAGAAATTAGATAGGTAACAACCAATCAATTTATAATGTTTATGAGAAATGCGAAGAACATGTTGCTGTTATATTGCTTGATGCACCAGGCGATAAGCTGTACATAGCATATCAGCTGCATCATTCCATTCCACCAAGCTAAAACTAAGCTTTAACTTTGGCAGTAATAAGAGTCATTCCTACATTGACAATTTATATTAGAAACATACTGTCAAATAAGTGAGCATTAATGCTGTAATGAGACTTCAATTCTCCCATTTGATATTCGCTGGTACTCATTGTAATGAAAAATGGAATCATGTTTCCAACAAAGAATATATCTGAATACTTAATTGAATTATGATAATTTTTTTCCAGGGAGATGTTTTGACATTTGTTAACCATGTGAAGGTTACAACATCTAAGCAAGCTGCCAAACTATTCAAGAATGCTGGAGAGAGGTATCGTACAAAAACAGAGAATCAATTTTTCTTGTTTTCACATTGAAATGTTTTATTGTAAAAACCTAAACACATGTAGATATCAAAATTTAATAACTGAAAGTGATTCCATTTCTGTGAAAAGTTAATTTTATTTTTTAGGTTTCTGGTAAGAATAGAAAGAGCAAAGATGAAAAATCATCCACCTGTTGACCTTCAAATTATAGAAGATAATATTAGTCTTAAGGTCAGTTGAATTTTCTGTAATACTTAATTAATAAACTTTATTTTAAAACCCCACTGCCTTTGGTATTGCACAATTTGACATCTATCTTTATATAGAGCATTATGTATTCTAGATTCTTGCCAGTGTTTTAATTCTTGATATAATTTTGCCTTGATATTTTGCTTTGCAGTGTCATGTGACATATGTACATTAAAATTTAATATTTGGTTTCAGGATTTTCCCCAGAGTGAAAATCAGAAAACCTCTGAGAGCTCTGAAGACTTTGTCAACATCAGTATAAACCCTCACCAGGGAGAGAAGTCTTCATTCACCCTCCCCTCCCCTTCCAGCAGCCCACAGAAAAGAGTTCTAGACCTGGTAAACACCGGCCTGGGAAAAGGGAAGAATCTTCTGAGAGGGAGGCAGAAAAGTAACACAATTAATGAGGCCCCTGCCACCTTAAAGCCTGCACCACAAACCAGTCCTAAGCCAGTCAGGAGGAATGCATCGGATAAGAACCTGTCTGCTCTGGGAACATCCCCTTCTGGATCCTCCTTGTCTGAGGTGGTGGATCTAAAGGGGCGGAGTCAAAGTGATGCATCATCTTTGAGGGTATGTTTACAGTCTGATGGGGTTTTATTTGGGTAAACTGATAGGTTTGTTTAAAGTGTAAATTTAAAAAAAGTTTTTATATACAAAAAGAAATTGAAATTTAAGTAAGAGTGTTCATCTAACATTGTAGTGGTGGAAACACTATACTAATATTTAACAATTAACATGATTAAAAACCAGGACATTTTAAGCGGATTTTATTGATTGTATTGATACATACATGTATATTTCTTATAATGTTTTAAGTACATGTTTAGTGTGCCTTTCCGACTTCACAGGTTTGGGTCGTGTGTTTTCATTCTGTCACTGAACATAATTATGTCAAACTTTGTACAGTTAATTTGAAAACAAAATATTTTTCCATATAACTGTTTCTTTTACAGTCTCTGGAATCAGCTGATGTACAACTTAATGAAGACACTGAAGATGAAGATGACACTACTGATGTCATTCAAACAATAGAAATTCCCTCAAGCCAAGTAAGATTTGTGCTGTCATTTGAATAAATGGTCAGAAGCTTCAGTTTGCTCTATTTCACATCTAAAGTCCTACAAGAAAATGTTGGAAAGCAATTTAGATAACATATAAAGTAGAAGGCAATATTTATCAACTTCTTTGGAATTTTTCAAGGTATCATACATAATTAATGACAGTGGTATTGGTTTAATAAATAGAGATCATTTTATTAGTATGTTTTGTACATGTGTTAATCAAACAGTGAAAGTAACTGCTCATGTCTAAATGATTGACTATTGTTTTATAGATTATTGTTTAATGTTACAAATATTTTTTGTTATTATAGAATCCAGCTTGGAATGAAACATTCACTTTTAATGTTGGTGGGGGTCAATGTCTGTGTGTAAGTGTAAAGAAAAAGACAAAACAAAGTCATTAAACCCTCAAAGGTCTATCCCATAAAATTCTAAAAACTAAGAGAAAGTTTTATATAAAACTCCACCACTTAACATTGAAATTCTTCTTCAACTACACTGCAACGTGCCTGTTGAAAGTGGTTTTCGGGGGGTGAAATTTTCAATGTTACACTCAACTACATGTTTTATTATATTATATGATGTTTTATACAAATACATGTAACAGTTTGCATAAATTCTGCGCAGGGGAATATCACCCTCGTCATAGCAATGTTGAGTGTTGCTACACTGGAGGGCGCCATTATTCAGCAAGTAATAGTGTTCATGTCTAAATGATTCAACTAATTTTGTAAAATATTATAATATCCACTGGTTTAATGTTAGGGAAATATTTTTAGTTTATGATTAATTGGAATTTCCTTGTCTTGGATTCATAAAAAAAACAAATGAAACATTGAATGTTGGTGCTCATATGAGAAATTCATTAGAAATAATTTCTTTGAATGATGTGTGTCTTTAAGGAAAAACTATACCGAAAAAAAGGTGTGATATTACTGTGAACTAAAACATAAGTCATCAAACCCTCGAAAATTTTTAAATCTTCCATGTTTAAAATAATTCTTCAGATTAAATGTATTTTGCATTTATTTTTATCATGTTTCTTATAATTGCTTAGAATGACAATACATTGAGATAAGAACGGCAGTGCAATAAATTTTCGCAGCAGTAGGCTTCGTAGTAATCAGCATGAGGTCGTGTAATTCGGTTGTAAAAATTAGTGATATATCAACTTGATAGATTTTTTCGATGTTTTTTGTGAAACTATATGGATTATTTTAGTGAAAATTAGTACAGGTTAGTTGTGATGAAGCAGTGTACTATTTAAATAAATGAAATTAATCCAAACTGGCAAAAATATACTGCTATTGTTGGAGAAGTTAATTTTTTTTTATTGTATTTTCTGACATAAAATATGTTTACCTATGGAGAAAACTTATGTATCAAAACCAAATAAAAAATAAAATTTTATAAGTTTTAATGTAGTCACTTTAATCAATTATTCAGTGAATTTTGATTAATTTTCATTCTCTCACTCCTGGACATCTGAATAAAAATTTTAACATATTATTTTATAGCTAGACTTTATGAAATAAAAATTATTTTAAGTAACCCACAGAGGCCAGGGCTGGGGCTTTTGTGATTTGAAAAAATGGATAAAAAACCAGACATTTACAAACTCCAGCTGAAAAATTTCAAATCTCCAGTTGTGATTGTTATTTTGTACATGTATATATTTAATATGAATTGCTCAGTTGTAGTTGAATTCTGGTGTACTGGCCAAAACTGTGGAGATTAATTGTCAGATAATACAGTATGATTTTTTTATGGGCTAAGCAGAAAATTTGCATGTAGGCATTTTTACAAAGAAAAAATTTGTGATATCATGTAATTTACCTACATTAATTAATTTCACTGCAATTTTTAAGCTACATGATCTATGAAAATACAGTAAAATTCATTCAGTACGAACAAGGATATTGCGAATTCATGGAATAGCAAAGTTATTTGGATCCCCAGCTACATGTATATAAATTTGATGAATTCCTTATATGGATGTAATGAATTATGGTTCTAGTGAAGTAATTTCATAGGTCCTATTGACTTTGCTATAACCGAGTTTTACATGAAAATTAGTACAGTGTATTTCAATTTATTTATGATGCCAGGGTAATTTTAAAAAATCATATTATATTATTGATTAATCTTTAATAATGCTTTCATTTTGTCTGCCTCAAATAAGAATCAAATATGAGTAAAATAAAAAATAAAACTCCTTTTTCAGTCGGAACAAGTTCTCCTCCTATTCAGGTCACCCGGGATTTGACCCCAATCTGTGTTTTGGTGACATCACTCTGACCTTCTGTCACAGTCCAAATGATCTGAAGGAGAAAGACCTAAAACATTTAACTAGAAAGCTCCCAGAGGCAGTGCCAAAAAATCTGAGAAATGAGGGAAAATCGCCTGTGTGTAGAAAGGAAGGGATCCCAGCGAGTGGACTTAAAAAGTAAGGAAGATAATTCATCATTTGTGAGAGATAAGCAGGCTATCATACCTGTAAAAAGTGCATGGTGATGTTTTTCATGTTCTTTGACTGTACCATGATTTTAAAATTTTACTTTATTGTTGGTGTCCAAGTTCATGGGTTACTCATTGATACATGGTAGATTCAATGAACCAATATATTTACAAAATAAATGTTTGTTGGAATCTGAATTTGTGGGTAAGAGTAACCCAAAAATCCACAAATATTGGCCTTCCAAGAACATGATTCCACAGTAAATAATTGATTTTGTGATTTGAATTAAAATGCCCATGTAGTATGGAAGAAATTAAATATCTTGCATGAACATGATGTAGTAAGCTTAAACTAAAACCTCAAAGGTTGTACATGTATAATGGCAGTTATGTATAGGAAAAGTAACATTTGCTATGTTGCCTTATGTTCTTATTTGTATGCATGTATTTGAGCATTACAAAGTATCATATCTATATATGCAGGATTGAAAAAGGAAGACATGATTTAATACTCACAAACTTTGAAACAGCTACCTTTTGCAACTACTGTGGGAAGAAGGTAAAATCTTTTTACTGAGGACATGTGAAAAAAAATTATCAATATTTTAATATCTACAGTAGAATAAAATAATAGAATAATTTTTTTTTAGTTCGGATGTTGGATAAGCATAAATAATTCTTTTTCTTTTGTTAGATTTGGTTGAAACAAGCCTTTTTGTGTTCCCTCTGCAAAAGGAATTGTCACAAAAAATGTGCAGAAAAATATCAAATGGAGACAATTTGTACTGAGTAAGTTTATTAATTTAGCTCATTTGAGCCAAATAAAAGGCTCAATATGCAAAAAAGAAGGTAAAATGTGTAAGTTACCCTGAAAACATGACTGTATATACATATATATATCTTTACATTTATATGAGTGGTAAAAAGTTATTTTCATAATGTAAGGTCAGATAAAACATGGTAGAACATAAATGTTGTAAAAATGAATGAAAATTGAATCATTTACCGTTTCTATCTAGGACTGGACCAATGAAGCGATTGGATCCCAAGACAATCTGGAAACCTTTACAGATCAAGTCAGAGAGCAAAAAGAATGCCCCAGATAACAACCCCAAATTTCTCAGCAAATTTACACAGAAAAAGCCAAGTAAGATTTGCAGACCATTTCATTTTTACATTTACTATAACTAATTTTTTTGTTTAGGTTTATCAAATGTCTCTATTTTAATTAAATTTTTATTCATACAGAAAACAATCTTGAAAATTTATCTTTTACATGTATAAAAATATAATTTTAGATATTTTTTAAAATCCAATTTTGATTGAAAGTTCTTGATATTTAAATATTCTAGAATTTATAGATTGAATTTAAATTTTGGTAATCAATTACAAAATCAAAACTTCTTACCATCTATAGGACGAAGAAGAAATGAATCCTGGGTCCATGTCAGTCATCCACTAGTAATCAATTTTTGGCTTTTTCAGCATCTAAGCCACAGTCCTCCCCCCACAAACCAACCACCCCCACTCATCCCCTCCCCTTCACCTTGTCTCCAAGCAACAGTCCCACCTTTGCACGCAGACGCAATTCAGCGCCTAACACAGACCGTTTGACAAATGAGAGCACAGTTTCACAGTCTGGTGATTCCATCTCAATGACACAAACACAATCATCTGGGTCACTTAAGAGCTTTGTCACAAATTTACCCAATCGCCAATCTGATGAACTAAGCATAAAGGTAATTACTTATAAAATCTTAATGGGATATGATAAATGTTAGGTGGATCATTAAGGGCGAAACGATTACACGTGTAAACGGCGACGTTTCGATTATATGCTCTAAACGTTTACAGTTTGAGTAAACGTTTACACGAAGGTCATTATCAATGTCTATCAGAAATAAAGTTTAACACAAAAAAAATTGTTTTATTTCATAATTTACAAAAGAAACAATCAATGTGACTTTGCCCGAGCGAGAGTTGTCTGATTTTATTTAATTTTTGTAACCAGTAGAGGTCGCTAAACCGGCTATCAAGATGGCGACTTCCATGAAAATACATGTGAGAATTATTTTTTAAACAAAGATATGTGCGTTTTTTGTTCCTTATAAAGCAGACAGAGGTATTTTTTTGTAAAACCAGATAAAAGTAAAGGCGCAGCCTCTGACTTTTTAAAGAATACAATTTTCGAAGAGAATGTAAGCCAATGAAAAATGAGTTTTACTCGATTTGAAATTACAAAAATTAAATAGGAATTCTCGCTCGGGCAAAGTCTCGAGACATAGAAATAAAGAAACACCGTCTTTGGCCATTTGATAAGCAACAATTAAACCGGAAACATATTGAATGAAAATTTGTACGGGTAATATAATTAATTCCGATTTCCGAGTTGCTAATACTAGCGATGTTTTACGACACTTGGAATATAAAACTTGATATATTTTGATTAAATAAATATAATACATTTTTCACAAGTCTTTGAAAAGTTTCAATATGCTAAGGTCCTGTTTTACTTTTTTAATTAAAAGATCCATCTGTACAATTATGTTTTCTACGTCCGGTAACCAAATAAACCAAGCAAACAATTTAATGCGCCTCAAATTCTTACGGTTAAATCACAATGACCAACAATAAATTTGTAATAACAGCTCATACTTATATTAAAGTGAAAGAATTGATTATTAAATTCGAGTTTCATGAATGAGTAGCCATAAAAATCCAACATAGAATATTTCCCGTTTAAACGGTACCGTTTCGTTTACTGCTATCCGTTTAAACGTTTACAAAATTCAGTAAACGTTTCACCCTTATGGATCATTCATGCATGTAAGATATACTTTATCATTTGATCGGTTCATAACTGTCATTTGATCAGTTCATAACTATTAATATGGTCCGTATTTTAATCATTGTGATGAAATGAAATAAGCATCCTTTGCATTGGGACTGTTAATTTTCTTCTTATCCAAACTTTTTGAGGATTTTTTCGAATAACATGAAATTCTATTTTTAAACTTTTCAATGAGTTTTACTTGGTTATAAATGACCTACATTGACATAAAAATATCTAATTCTTTTGTTGACATATTTTACAGTAAGCTTTTAATTTGTGCTATTTTCCAATTGTGTTATATTTACACACTTAAAAGCCACTATATTTCATCTTCTCTTTTCATCCATGTGCTGAGCTTTAAAATTTCAACTTGGTTTAGTCTAAAAACAGAAAAACTCGCAAATACAACTATTGAACATTTGCATAGTTTGTGTATAGTCATAAGGTTTATGTATTACTTTGACATGCATTTAGATGGACGGACCATCAAGTTTGGTGTGATGAGCAATTAATCAGAAATATAAATATTTTTCTATGGAAAACCGAAATGGTGTGTCATGTCAGGCTACAGAAAGAAATTGATGAGGAATCTGAAAATAAAAATGAGTTAACAAAAGTATGCAGAACTCTCTTTGGACATCAAATTAAAAAAAAGAAAAAGCTGGAAGCCATGGTAATGTTGCTTACTGTCAGTATTCCAACCTAAAAAGAAAAGCAGAGAAAAAATACTTGTCATCTGTTTGATAAAGAGATGTGAATAATTTTCTAGGGAATGTTTTAACTGATACGTGATCTACAGGCAAAAATTATTTATTACAGGTATTTAAACTACAGAAAGAAATTGATGAGGAATCTGAAAATAAAAATGAGTTGACAAAAGTGCTAGAGGAATCCATTGACGCATCTCAGAAGGAATTGTTACGCCATCAAATCAAAAAATCGGACGTGAAAGTAGAAGCCATGATGATGGTGATGTTGCATTACTGTGCAGGACTGCAGTATTGCCTGGACCAAGAACAGGAAGAAAAGCAGAAAAAAGCCAGCACTGACTTGTCATCTGCTGGTCGTGATAAAGGGGATGATAAGAATCAGGTTGAGGGCAGTGGCTTGAAGCTTACTGAGGTCCTGAAAGCAGAGGGAGATAATTATAGTGAAAAAATTAATGGCATTTTAAAAAAATCTTCTTCTATATCAGTGGAAGTAGATGAAACTCATGTTCATCCACAGGTAGTGTAGATTCTAGTTTGAAAATGTGGCCAAAAGAAGTTTTACATGAATATATAGGAAAAACTTTAAAAATTTCCTGAGATGGAAGGTGACTCAGTGTTCATGGGAAATGCTTTTGGTTTGGAACAAGATTGTGGATGTTCTGTTCAAATGCAGGGGGAAGGCGTAGTAAAGACAACAAAAGCTGACACTGACAGTCCAAAAAGATTTACATATGAATATACTGGGAAAATCTTTATAAATCTTCTTGAAGCACTCAGAGGAATTTGTAGATGAGGAGGACATTCTAGCAGATGTCATTAATACTGTTACAGAAATCATTGAAAAATCTGAAGGGGAGACAGATTCTAGTGACTTTGAGGATACAATCAAACACTCCACTGATTAACTGAAATGGCAAGTATCGTAAGGTTAAAAAAAAGATTCTACTGATTTATACAATGCATTTTTTGTTGTTGATATGTTGGAAATGGTTATGTTTGAAGTCAAGTACATGTATATTCTAATTATGAAAGTTAGCTACATGTGCTCTGTGACACAAAGGGTAAAAAATAAGAAGACAACACTGAACACATCTTAAAAGTTAACTTCGTTCAAACAGTAGGAGTTCACTGTTGCTTTATAAAATCTCCATAATTTCTACAAATTAATACTTCATCATGTAAACAGCAGTGACAAATATGATGGCATAAAAATATGTGCACTGTATAAGTCTATTTGTTTTAAACGTGCATAAAATTAAACATTGATTTATTTGAATTTAAAGAGCATGTGAGAAATATCTGTGTTTTATTTCTTGTGATTTTGAAAGCTTATTGTGATATTGAGAATTGTGATTTGTTAACAGCCATAATGTAGCCTTTTGGAGTACCCCAAAGTTAAAATTGCTTTTTAATGCATATTTCTTGATATTTAGATTGTATTAAAATCTTCATGATTTTGATATATATTTACACAATAAACAATTTTAATTTAATGAAAGCCAATAATTTTTCATTTGCATACACACAATTTTAAGTTAAATTATTAAATTCTTTCAATTGTTTGGAACTAGATCAACAATCTTTTAGATTTTGTTTTGGGAAAACTTCAAAGTCCAGTATAAAGCTAATTTCACTTTTATTTTGTTATCAAAGAATTGCTATGATTGTCACTAGAAATTTTAAGACTGTTGCTTTTGATATTCAAACATTTATTAACAGATTGAGTTTCAATTAAAATGTGTGAAGTGATGGAACTCCAAGGCAAAATCATATCTACTTCAGTCACAGAAGCTCAGTATTATTTTTCTATATCATATAGATTATTTTGACATCACCAGCCAGTATAATTTTCATGAAGTACTTCAAATACTCACATTCCTTACAAATTTGTACAGTTACAGAACCTATAAGTTTGTACTTAAGTATATTTGTTATTGTTGAATTAATTTCTTCATGTTCTTACTATGTGTTCTATTTAAGGTTTCTTTTTATTGATAATCTACTGAATTTTGATTTAATAGTTCAAATATGGTTTCATAAGACAGCTTTTGTACACACTGCCCAATATTAGTCAGACAGAGAGTGCAATATACATGTACAATCAGATACATAGAACAAAGTCAAAATTTAATTTCTGAACCACGAAAAAAAGTTCAGTATTCAAAACAAGAATTTTTAATTATTTTTTTATCTACTGTACCAAAGATTCTGTACCCACCTGTCGTTTATAGGATGATAATTTAATTTTAAAGACTTTATTTGTTGATGCTGCTTGGAAATGGAAATTTTCAATTATTAGCTCACCTGAGCCGAAGGCTCAAGTGAGCTTTTCTGATCACATTTTGTCCGGCGTCCGTCTGTCTTTCTAGCTGTCTGTCTGTCTGTAAACTTTTCACATTTTTGACTTCTTCTCAAGAACCACTGAGCCAATTTCAACCAAACTTGCCACAAAGCATCCTTAGATGAAGGGGATTCAAGTTTGTTCAAATGAAGGGCCACGCCCTTATTCAAGGGGAGATAATTGGGAATTAATGAAAATTTGGTGGTATGTTTTAAAAATCTTCTTCTCAAGAACCACTATGCCAGGAAAGATGAAACTTATGGGGAAACATCCTCAGGTAGTGTAGATTCAAGTTTGTTCAAATCATGACCCCTGGTGGTAGGGCGGGGCCACAATGGCCGACCAAATTTTTACATAGAAATATATAGGAAAATTCTTTAAAAATCTTCTTCTCAAGAATAGCAAAGCCATAATTGATGATATTTATATGGAAGCATCCTCAGGTAATGTAGATTCAAATTTATTCAAATCATGACCTCCGGGGGTAGGGCGGAGCCACAATGGCCAACCAAAGTTTTACATAGACATATATAGGAAAATTCTTTCCGTCCGCCTGTCTGTCTGTCCATCTGTCTGTAAACAATTTTTCAAAACACTACTCCTCTGACAGTTTTGGTCTGATTTCAGTATAACTTGGCACACAAGTAGACTACACTAAGATACATAAAATAGTGCATTGGTTTTTGATTTCAATGAACGGTGTTGCCATGGTTACTAAAAATAGAATTTTCTGTGAAATTCCTTTAAAACACTACTCCTCCTACAGTTTTGATCTGATTTCAGTATAACTTGGCACACAAGTAGAATACACTAAGATACATAAAATAGTGCATCGGTTTTTTATTACGATGAACGGTGTTGCCATGGTTACTAAAAATAGAAATTTCTGTGAAATTCCTTTAAAACGCTACTCCTCCTATAGTTTTGATCTGATTTCAATATAACTTGGCACACAAGTAGACACTAAGATACATAAAATAGTGCATCAGTTTATGATTTCGATGAACAGTGTTGCCATGATTACTAAAAATAGAATTTTCTGTGAAATTCCTTTAAAACACTATTCCATCTATAGTTTTGGTCTGATGGCAATGGCTTCTTTTCTCATTCTTTGTTGTAAGTACAAACCAGTAGAGCTACAGTCTCGACAGAGACTTCTGGTTACTTTTTCCTAGCCACAGTGCTCAGGTGAGCGATGTGGCCCATGGGCCTCTTGTTAAATGAAAGTGTAGTTTATTCTAAGTAGACATATATTATGAGTGATGTACTATTTACCATATGAAAGTGCATTTTTACCTTTTTTTGTCCCTTTAGCCCCCACTTCTTATTGCACAACCGGGGGTAATTAAAAAATAAAGAGGTTAGAATGGACACAAATATTTGCAAGTGTGAAAGAGCGAAAACTATTTGTTTTGTTTTACATGTTCCATAGATACTTAAAAGAAAGAGTAATTAAAAGTGTTGGGTTTAGCTCTAGAGATGTTCATGGTTTACACTCATTGCTTTCCTGTCATTGATATTAAACTTTGTGCAATATAAATGATGTAATTAGTAAAGAAAATTATGTATATTTTTGTTTTTTTTTTCTGTTATGTTTATATACAAATTATTTAATTATACTTTTCTTGTTATAATGTTTTTAATATGTGTTTGGTTACTACAGTATGTGTGTAGGAGAGAAAATGTGCTTATTGATGTTATTATTTTTTTTGCCTCGTTTTCAGTGAAAAACAAATCATATTACTGGCATATTAATCAGAATTATTATATGACATTCCTTAATTTGACCTTTGATCTCTGTTGTGACAGTACATTTTATTCCTGTTTTTCATTTTGAATTAAATCTGTTAGAAATGTATGGATCTTTTTTCAATACAGGAAAACGCTGAATATCATTGAAATTGAATGCATTTACTTGTCTGTCTCACGTTTTAAAAGAAGTTAAAAATAAACAACTTTTAAGAACACTTGTTTTTTGTTGCATAGTTTTATTTATTCCACAAGAATGTTGGTCATTTAAGATATTAATAAACTATCATAGAGTTGAAGTTTGTATTAAGATATCATATCACACCCCAAACGTGTACCAAAGTCGGGAGACTACAACATGGTAAATTTTATTTTCCCGTTAAGGTTGTACTCTGATAAGAGAGATAACTCTTAATGACATAAGTATCTATTATTCCTTTACAGATTTAAAATTTGCCAGCCGAAGTGTCTTTTTTTGCCCAATTTTTGCCCCGCAAGCTATGTTTATGATTGTTTGTATTTTACTAAAAAAAAACAACATCTCTTTTGGAAAATATAAAGGTTCAAGCAACATTTTATATGAGTGAGCAGAGAGTTTATGAACCTTAAGTACCACAAATGTTATCTTAATAATTTAATTATAAATGTATGAGATTGTGTGAATATAACCATTTGAAGAGTAGCGAGGACTAGAAAACACAAGGGAGTGATAAAAAGCTGCTCACCCAGTTAAGCTGTAGAAAATCATAAAAAATAAATCTACTTTGTCCCAGAGGCTTTGATTTTAGCATGTATTTCTTCACCCTTGCACTATCTTGAATTACTATTCATTGCAATTACTACTACTTCTTGTGCTCAGGTTTGTAAGGGCTAAATGAAAAGAAATTTCAACGAGTATTCGAGTACTTGTATTCGACTTTCGCTCTGTCACTGAATCGTTGCTTTCTCACATTTCTACTCTGAATTTTTATACCCCCCGCTTGAAAAGTGGGAGGATATACTGTTATCGGTATGTCCGTCCGTCCGTCCGTCCGTCCGTCTGTCTGTTACGCTTTGGAGTACCCATCTCTTATCCGCAACTCCTCTTATACCACTGAGTGAAAGAACTATATGCGGTATATTGCATATATTTGCCCCCACAATAAATTGTATGAGAAATATAAATTAACAGAAAATATTATAGTGTCAAAGCAGTGTACTCACAATTTTTGTTTTTATGACGTCACAAACTAGTCTGATTTTATATCCTTTTTCAGAAAGAGGACAAAATGGACAAAATTTCAACAATTTTAGCTTTAAAATTTATAGAGCGCAAGTTTGTTCAGGAACAATATTGACATATTTCATTGATGTTATCATTCTACACATTATATCAAAATATTAATCCTGAACACACATGCGCTCGGTGACTTTTACTCAAAATATCGACGAAATATGTACATTTTTCTGTAAAATTCATAAAAAACTGAAATTTACGTCATGTTTGTGACGTCATTACGTGCATATGGCGTCATTACTTATGAAAATATTCAGTGCTTTGAAGTCAGCATATACTCCCCAGTTTAAGAACTAAATTAAATATATCTCCATCAAAGTTTGATTTGGGGGGCAAATATTGGTTATTACCGAATAAAGTTCTTTAATGAAACTTTCACAGAATCTTTATTATATATTGCCATTGTGCACCTCCTATTTTACTTTTGATCCGACACATATTTTGGGTTTCCCGGCCACAACAAAACATGGACTTTGCCATTATAACCATATGGGAGGTGGGGGGGGGGGTTATCATTTACATGTAGTGAGCTCAATGCTCACAGTACCTCTAGTCTGAATAATAATTTAATATTTTTCAATAATACACAACAAAATTTCTAATTTTTAAAAGTATATTAAGGATAAAGTTTACTTAATTCGAATTTATAAGGGAGGGGAACGTTACTCTGTCTAAGATGACAAGATTCATATCGAATCAGTATCTTAAAAATACGATGTTTATAAGAGAGAGAGCGAGAAACGTTCATCAAATGCCTTATTGTAACAAATAGTTTGAAACGTAGAGAAAGAAACGTTCCTCAAAGATCTAAAGATCACTAAAAAGTGAACTGACGGAGGCATTTTTCAGACCAAAATGACTTCAAATTTAAAAACTGGGTTAAAAAGGAATGTTGATTTTCTCTTTTTGATTTGAATTGTGTTCTTTGGAAAAGTGAAAAGATGTTATGGGGTTTATGTCTCTCGGTTGATTTGAAACGCAAGAACTCTACGTATTACTGAGTATCTAAAACGAGAGAGCTACAGCCTACTGACAAATACGTTGATGGTACAAGAACTCAATAATTAAGTTATTTTTTCTATGGTCGATAAACAGTTTATCTTCGGTATCTCGAACTCCGATATCTCGAATACAATGGACATGTCGAAGTGATTTGAAATTCCCAAACATATTCTTTAAGTATTCTACCCTTGATTTTATGGTACTGCAATTGCAATTTTGCAATGCACAGGCACGTAGCATCGTTTTTGAAAGTGGGGGGGGGCAACCTGAGAAAATTTTTTTTTACTTACCTGAAAAAGTTGACAAGCAAAGAAAAAAAAAACCAAAAAAAAAAAAAAACAAATATTAAAGTTGCCCAAAGTCGAAAATCCTATTTCGTCGGGGGGGGGGGGGGGGGGGGGTAGTGGCTAACTTTTTTCAAGACCAAGCCCCCCTGGCCCCCCCCTGATACTACGTGCCTGATGCAATCTATCGTATAAATCGAATGTTGACTGCTGTCTTTTAAATGTTCCGAGTTGCTATGCCATATACATTATTTTCAACTGACGTGTCCATGGTTTTTTACCAGATCATAGCAAAGTGCATTGGTAGGAATGACTTCTTAATGAGAGGACGCTCAATTGTTCATATATTGCACCTGATCCGACATAAATAAAACATCTGAGTTTGGTAGGCCTATCGTTTTGCTATGCTTCCTTTGTATCTGTTAATAATAGGATACTGGTAGCTTCGAACAAACATTAAAGAACAGGGGTGGGGGTTATTGCCTGACAGTTAAATTTTTTTGTATGGGTGATTAATTTTTAAAAGAAACAATAATTAACCTGACCTAAGTCGATAAAACATAAGTAGCAACTGTTCCTTTGCAATGCGCTCGGCACTATAAAGTGAAAATTGTGGGGTTTTTTGGACGACACATTAACGTTTGGGACCCGCCCTCAGCAGACGTTGGAACAAAAAGAACCTCACTGATTGTCCAGTGAAGGTATACGTTTGAAGCCATGCACCGGTACATTGTTACGTCTTTATATGAGTGAACATTTCTCAAACGCGATGTAAAACAACATATAGCACAAATAAATCATTTTTTAATCTGAATTAGTGAATATCTGGGATCAGATAATGTTTTGCATGTCGAGGGGCTTTGTTTCTTGCAACATATTAGATTTATAAATCAACCGATCAACATTAACAAAACGAACTAACAAACATTTTATGTATGTTTGCTAAGTACAATTAAAAAACTGAAAATCACATTGTAGGCACTGTTTAATGGGGCAAACCACATCACCATCGTGTAATATCAGGTATATGAAGGAAAGATAAAAAAGAACTTTACATAAAACTTATTCTTTTGCTGCTAAATTTGTCCATTCAACATTTCAAAATTTGACAAACCATTAGTAAACCATACATGTATTATAAAATCAAGATTTTCTTCTGCGTTGAATGCCTCTGTGTAATACGAAGTCTATAATTTCTATGATGGACAGAAAACTGGCTCCCAGAAACAGACCCATGGTTCCCCCGATGTCACCTTCAAAATAACGAAATAATGGAATATCTATAGACTGTCTAGTTTGAGATACCTAACAAACCACAAAATTAACAAAACGATTTCAGAGGGAATAGGTGATTCAACCGAAATTTAATAAAAGTGAAAATTGATTTTGGTCATAATTATACGGAATGTAAATAAACTCAATCAGTTATCTGGTAATTGAAATTGACAAAGATATTGATCATTAGAGATCTCCTGTGACGTAAGAGATACAGAAATTATTTGATAAATTTTTCTGACTAAAAGAATTTCTATCTCTGAAGACACATTTACCTCACTCTGATTCAAGATGATTTCATTTATCGTAATTAACAATACTAACATTAATAATTAAAATCCAAAGGGAATCAATCATGCAAGTTAAACCATCCGCTCGCGTGTTACAATGAACTTATACTAGATTGATTAAACGTTTTTAAAAGAGTTACAGAGATTTTGATTATGCAAAAATAATTCCAATCCGTTATAATTTAGAGTAGACAGGGAAAGACAAAAAGTTTTTAAAAAATGAATTGTAATAAATTTAAAGAAACTTAAAATAACAATATACACATTATATATATATATATATATATATATATATATATATATATATATATATATATATATATATATATATATATATTCCAGTTTAAGAGTAAAAAAGGACTGTGTAGCAGACACTAATACAGTCATGTAAACGACTTTAAAAATGAAACTGTCTCAATGTAAAGCCAACTTACACCAAAGTGAAAACATGTTGTAAGCAATCTGCTGATGTATTTTTTCATAACTCATCTCTCGATAGAAAATATTTATCTGCAAAAGGTTGTCCCTGTAAAATAATAACAAATTAATTTTTTTAAGAAGCCGCAAATTAAAACGAAAAACAACAATGGTTTGTGTTTCAAGTAGGATACCTGATAAAACTGCTATCGATCTTCAAAGACGTCTTAAATTCTCTCATATGAACTACGATGCTTTTGAATGTAGATAAGAGCTGGGCGTCTCTGCTTCCGATCACATCAGAAAATCTAACGGTGTCTAGAATTGACGTGAAGCTTTCATTCAAATCGGTGATAACTTCTGTAAAGTTGGTTAAATATTCAGTTTTATTGAGAAACTCGTAATATTCCCACGAATCTTCGTCGTATATAATATTCTCCCAAATATCTTTAGAAATAAACTGTAATCTGGTTATCCAATCCGTCAGGGATGTTTGTCTGTTTTTTAACATTTGAAAATAAAATTGGAATTCTGTTAGAATACTATCCGTTGTGTTAGAAAGAAACATTTGCGATACTTCCAGCTTTGTTGCATTTCCATTTAAGTAACGCTCCAAGTTACTGTTCATGTTTTCTATTGGTTTCAACATATCCTCATCAAAATCAGCGTTTTCAGAATGTATTGAGTATATACTTTGATTGAGGTTTTGAAACAGCAGCTGAAATTCATTCCACAAAACTTCAAAGTTTTCAAGTTTCTCTTCAAGTATCCTTTTAGGTCTATCTATAATTTCATAGTAAAATAAACTTCGTGCAAACACCCAGTTGCGCATGGAAAATCGAAAATCTTCAACACAAAGTCCCAATTCTGTCTCATTTACCACTCCACTGTAATAAGCGACTTCTGCTAAATCTTTACATAAATATAACGCTTTCACTGTGCTATTCAGATGTCTTTCATATCGTTCTGTTGATTGATTTGCATACAAATTGTGATTCAAAGAATCTTTCATTAATATTTTAGGGGCTGCATAATCATTATGATCCCGAGGTGTGTCCATAAATTGATAATTAAATATTTTCGCCCCTGTATTGTAAGCATTGTTTAAAGATGTATAGTTTACCATGACCCTTTCGATGATTTCAATTCTATTATCTATCTTATCTTTCAAGTTTTCATAGAGAAAAAGTCGAAAAGAATCATTCTGAAATTTTGGATCAGTGAGTTTTCGAATAGTTTTCTCGATTTCTAATATATACTCTGCATATGCTAGCGGAACAATGTGCATATGACGTTCTTCCATTGCATCACGTGCTCTCATAAAGTTTTTCTCCATTATGTAGATTTGATATTTGTATAGATAATCCTTAAAGTCAAAATGGCTTTTTATATCTGTGAACATCGTGTTTATCTTATTCAATAAATCATCCACCATTTTCACAAGCCTATTGTACACGTATGAAACTTGTTCAGTATTTGTTGTCAAGTTAAGGAAAAAATGTTTCACTTCTGATATTTTTGAATCTTCATATCTAGACGTGACTTCCCTGGCTTTTAAAAGATCCTCTGCCAAATTAACGGTGTCATTAGAAGATAAATATTTTCTGAGATTGTAGTCTGACGTTGTACCATATGATAAATCCGTTTCGAACACACGGAACTTACATGAAACGGGACAAGAACATAGTTTATGAAATAATGTTGGAAAGGTTTCTGAAAAGACAACAAACATAATCAAAATGTTAACATTTTTTCCTAATGAACAATATTTGATTAATTTATACGATCTGTAAAGAAAGCACAAAAACACTTACCTATGACGTTTTTAAGACACCCATAGTACTGATCTAGGTTGCACACAGGTGGTTCTCCTGAAATACAGCAAAATTAATGACCTTTTTAATTAGTCGTTTCAAAAAAAATTCCAAACACATGCAACAACTGTTTTAAAAGACACATGAATTTAAAATAGCTGATATAAAACTTCGGATATCATACCTTTAGTAACTACAATGTAAGCGCAATGAATAGTTACTTTGTTCAAGTTAGCAAAGCATTTCTGATTACCATTTTTGTGGGGCATGTACAAGGCCCGACATCCACAGATTTTCTTCGCTCTTTTCGTCAAACAGTCCAACCGGCAGGCATCCGTACTATAGAAATCTATGTACTCCAATGTCTTCTCTTGACAAGTACCGTGAGGTTCTGGAAGGTTCTCCAACTATAGCAACAAATAGTTCCTGTTGTTTATTATCTATTATCAAAAAGTCTTTCAGCTTCTTATCTTTCAATAATTATGAAGAAAACAAACGGTATTAAAGCTCAAAAGTCTATTAAATAATACAATTCGGGAGCAGAGTAAACATGGACCTATGAAAAAATCCGAGGTGGGGTCAGGTGCCATGGAGAAGTAAGCACCCCCTGTCCACTGGTCACGCCAGCGGTATGTTTAATGTTTAAGGACAGATGATACAAACAATTTTTTTCTTTGAAAAAGATTTAATATCATGTCACAAGTTTAGAAATGTGGATGATTCTTAGAAATTTTTCTCCTAAGAACTGGAATATTAAAAAGACTTGGAAAATATTAGTAATATTTCAATGAAAAAACAAATATAGACAAAACACATTCAGTAAAGGTTTACAGGTGAAAACAAATTTCAGAATATGTTAACATGGTGCTAAAAGTGTAATATAAACTTAAGAAAAATATACCAAGCCAGGTGAATTTTATTAGGAAAAGCTAAATGGTAAAAATCAGCCTATGTGATATTGCTAATTTTTTGTAATTTTGATCTTCCTCTTAAAATTCACCTGGCTTGGTATATTTTTCTCAAGTTTATATTACACTTTTAGCACCATGTTAACATATTCTGAAATTTGTTTTCACCTGTAAACCTTTACTGAATGTGATCTGTCTATATATGAAATATTACTAATATTTTCCAGGTCTATTTCATTTTCCAGTTCTTTGGAGAATAAATTTAAAAACTTTTCTAAACTTGTGACATGATATTAAATCTTTTTCAAAGAAAAAATTTGTTTGTATCATCTGTCCTTAATGTCAATGAAACCCTTACAAAATAGACCGTTTAATCACATTAGGTAACAACAATATGTTCTATACATATAATTATTAAGGAAACATACTATATATATGTAATTATTTAAAAATTTATACGTTAATATTCATCTTTTGATTCATTGAAAAAGTTTTCGGAAGCTATCTTTGTCGAGAAATCTACACTAAATTTAATGTTTACTATTTATATACAACTACAATAAAAAAATTATTGTTTTACTTATTTAGCCTCCTCGACACCGGACCCTCTTTTTGGAATTACCAAGGTACAGTGTTTTTGCCCATTAAAAAAAGTGTATTATTGTTGTTTTTTTAATCGGGTACTGTTCGTTATCTTCATCACCTTTTACGTACATTGTAAGTATTCAAAGAAACAAGATACATTTATTAATTAATTCACATGCAGTTAAAATGTGTTTTCTTTGAAGCATTTACCTCTATGACTTTCATTCCCACAAAGACCCTAGATCCAGGTGAAATGGCCTGACCAAGAGCGTGTACCATTGGGATATCCTTATGGTCGTGTATGAGCATTTTTATCCCTGCGGCGTCGTGGGGGCCCGGCATGTACTCATACTGCTCAATGTTTAGCGTCAGACGTAGACCATTCTCAATACCTGATCGGATACAGGTAAGACAATTAGATGTAATAAGAATGTCAAATGTAATGTTAGGAAAGTAAAGATACAGAATTAGGAGACCTATTGACAAAGAGTGTAACAAGGATGGATTTCTGAATGCAATTTTTATACAATTGTTGCTCTATTTACTAATTAAACACCAGAATTTGCTCTTTTTAATATTTGAAAAATATTCATGTTTGTACGGTATGGCATTAATCAGAATCATTTTTGAAAAATCTGACAGTGAATAAATTCCTCCATGCTTGAGTTACTATATCCCTCATTTGAAAATATCAAATGCATATGAATTGAATTAAGAGGAAGAAATCTTAATTCAAAAATATATTGGAAGGACCATCTTTAAAAGCCATATCATAAAAGCTTAACAAAATCCTTAAGATTATTACCTGGTGAGGACACCTTATCCTCGCTGCTTTTAAAAGTATAACAGACGCCATGATCTGTGACGTATTGTTCAAAGTCGTCTGCTGTCAATGTTTGACCCATCCAAACTATCCTTTAAAATAAAAAGAATAGTATTGTCCACCCCTTTTACTTTCCTTCTGACAAAATTAGAAATTTGTCTCTGTTGAAATTTGTCCTACAGACATCTATTTTACAAGGCAGGGGGTCGTAACATAAAGGCTACGTAAATCTAAGACCGTGCTTAAGTAGGACTTAAGTACAGTCTAAAACTTAAGACCATAACTAGAAGCGTGCTAAGATTTGGCAATCTTAGCAAAACTTAGGCGGCCAGTAGAGGTGACTTAAATATATATGTTAAATTTCTTTTACATATATTTGGAATTATTTAATGTTGACTTTCGATGTTAAAACAGTCCTCCTCTATTCATATTATGCGTTATAGAAAACAATTATCTATATTTGATGCCGATTTAAGAATTTTAGTTTTTCGTCGGGGGGGGGGGGATTAGTGGGGCCTAGGTTATAGAAAAAAATTGAACACAGTAATAAATCATGGATCATTCTGTTCACTTTGAAAATATGAGATGAAATAATTTTTTTAAAAGAGAAAAGAAAGAGGATGATGACCAAAACAGTGATAAAAAGTATATGTAAAGTAGAATAAATGTAGAACATGATAAGCGCGGATTTAGACAGGGCTCACTATAGTTCCAGAGAGGGGGGAGGGAGAGAGAGGGAGGGAGAGAGTTCATAAGTGGAGACATACGAAAAATATCCCCCGAATTTTTTTTTGCAGCCTTGATTAAATTGCAAATGAGTAGATCATAAAACTTATGCAGTCTTTGCTACTGAAATGCATGGCCTGATACATAAAGGGGGGGCAAAATGTTTTGAACCTTTTTAGAGTTTCAATTTCAAGTAGATATACGGTCGATTATCTTGTTATGTTTGCGAGCATAACGAAACAAGTGAACATTTGTCAAAACAAAAGAGTAACAAAAAGTAAACTGAAAACATCTCAAGTGATCGATAAAACAATATAGTCGTACATTTACGATGAACCACGAATAGCCACGGTGTGACCGTGCAGTATATTTGTTTTCAAATATTCCGAATGATTTATAACAGAATCATCATTTTAATACGAGATCTAATCTAACATAACTAAATCCGATATGTAAAGACGTCAACTTTAATATACATGTATATTTAATTTAAACCCTAACTGGATCACTTTTAACAATATATCTACATAAAATGAAAAACCATAGGTTGACTCGTATGAAATATTTTTAACATACGTTTGACTTAGCTAAGACATAGCTAAGTTCGCTTTATGTTACGGTTTAAGACATACTTAAGTAGTACTTAGACAGGTCCTAAGATTGTGCCTAAAACGTACTTACGACCACTTAAAACTTAGCAAGCTTTATGTTACGAGCCCCAGATGACCCTGTTAAGTCTTCTTCCCGTTTGCATCACTGTTTGTTAGCTTCAACTTTTCATTTTCATCCCCTGATATGTAATGTAGTGGAAAGGGCAAAGACATAAACATATTTTTCTTTATACAACAAGTTAAATTTGATTAAAAAAAATTTACCCTATGCAATTTCAAAGTTAAGCCACAATCAACAACATAACTACAATGTTCATACATGCAGCTTTGTAATATATAATACTCCCTTTCTCTTCCTTACTTGAACAAGAAATCCTTGCGTTTATGTGCGCCTTGTAAATAGAGATCCTTTAGAGTTGTATTCCCAGCAGAGTATTTTTTAAGACTCTCTGAATTAAAATTTTCAGGTTCAGTAAACATATCTTCGATCAATTTATACCGACCTGCTTCAGCTGCTAAAGTCGCCCTGTAAGGAACAAAAAGCAAGCTTTGTAAGCAGTGTTTCCTGGTTTTTAAGAGTCATTCTCTGTAAAAACCAAAGAATCCAAGGGGGCCGAAAAAACGAATGTCTCCGAAATACGTAATTTTTTGTATTTAGAGTGTACTCAGGTGTCTAACTGAGAAAACCACCTTAGTTCATGTTTCGGGGTGTCCGTTGCCATGGCAACCGTAACTAACACAAATATGGCCATTTTGACAGGTTCTATTTCATGAAATATAGCATTTTTAACCCCCATATTTCCTTTAAACACGAAAAATATGACCACTTTCAATTATATAATTTATTTTATGCATTCTTATATAATTAAAATAATTAGGAATTAAATCTTTTGCCTGAGGCGTTTCAAGCTGATAGAAGGCTAAAAATATCAAATTTCATGATTTTTTCAAAATGCAGAAAAACCCATTTTACCCTCTATTTCAATTACATTTATCTTTAAATTCCAAGATAGGTTTTTAAAATGTCTTATTTATTCAAAATATCTGTACTATGGTCTGTCATTTCATCTAGTTTTCAAACGTGTGTTTTTCAGATAACTCAAGTAATATCAAATTGAAAATGCCCCCTAATCCCAAATTTCCTCAAATACAGACTGGAAAGCTGTTACATATACATTAAGATGGTGTTAGTTTTTTTTTCTCTTTTGAAGACATTTATATAAAAAAAAAAACAACCTTATGATAGAATTTAATGATAGAAATGAATAGAAATGAACCATTTCAGGAGAGGATAGCAACGAAGATGTGGTTACCATGGTAACCATTCTCAGAAATAAATAAAAGTTATGTTTTTTTAAATCAAAATTAATGACACTGGTGTATAATATTTTATCAATCATTCTTCTTACCCATTTCAAAAATGAATAGAAGATAGTGTTAACATAAAAGTAATAAATAAATGTAAGTAATGGATATTTAACCCCCCCCCTTTTACACCCCCTAATCGAAGATTCGAGGCTATCTAGTTTTTGTCCTGCACGTCCATCTGTCTGTTGCAAAAACTATAACTTTGATCGTAACTTTTTAGTGGTTGGGGCTATGGCTTTCATATCCCACAGGTGTGTAGATAGTTTTCAGTAGGCCAAAATTAATAAGTTATTTGCCGTTGGTCGCCATAGTTGGGGTCAAACTAGATATATTCCTTCATTATTCAATCAACTTTAACTTTTTATACTGGCATTGTTTTTCTTAAAAAATATACATTTGTTAGAGCTTCCATAATTTCATAATATTTATTCCATAAAGATTTTCCCCCTTATAATTCTGTAACAACCTATTACATTTAATTGGTACAATAACGGAAAAATTTCCAGTTTGACCATAGGCACTTGGGGTATGGACCCCCCCCCCCTTTTCCATTTTTTTTCTTTTTTTGAAATCAGAATTCAAGTCATCCTTTTCCTCTTTTTCTATTCTAATATGCACTATATGTTATCAAAAATGCAACTCTTTTGTCTCTACAAGCTGTTTTTAAAAATACCGTTTTCCACTGATACATATCTTTATATGTATCAGTGGAAAACGGCTTTTTTAAAAACAGCTTGTAGAGACAAAAGAGTTGCATTTTTGATAACATATAGTGCATATTAGAATAGAAAAAGAGGAAAAAGATTACTTGAATCCTGATTTAAAAAGAAAAAAAATGGAAAAGGGGGGGGGGGGGGAGGTCCATACCCCAAGTGCCTATGAGTTTGACCACCATCTTGGCGGCCAACGGGAAATAACTTTTTTTAATTTAGGTCTACCGAAATCTATCAATTCCTTGTGACAAGACCTTTCTGTGGGTACCATCCAATTTGACCTCTTGAACTTGATATTTGACCCACTTTTACAAAAAATTATCACACTTTAACCTTTGCCATAACATTTGAACAGTTGGTGCTAGGGCTTTTATTCTTCATATGTGTATTCATTGTGACATGAACTTTCAATGGACATAAATATTAGACATTTTTACCTTGACCTTAGAGCTTAAACCACTTTAACTTTAACCATAGCCAAAGTCATAACTTTTTCACAGTTAGAACTAGTCTATGTGTTCCTTGTGAAAAGACCTATTCTTGGAGTTTGTTATGCATTTGAAAATTCAAGTTATTCAACCATCAATATTACCTGCCATAGGGGGATCAGTGTTTCACAAACATATTTAGCTGTTAATGAAAAAAAGACTAGGGGTTAACAACTGTTTGATGACTCATATTTTCAGGAATTTAAGCCATAATAATACAAGTAAAGTCACATTAACATCAACTTTCATTTTTCTGTCAGTTTTATGAAAATTCAACATGCAATTGATAATGTGTGACACACAGGAATAAGATGAACATATACATTCAATGAGATGAACTTTATACACAAATTATATTTTATTTAAGATACTACATTATTGAAATACTGTAAAAAATGATTTGATCATTTGAAGAGTATTGAAAGCAATGCACTATACGAAAATCAAACATGATTTTGTTTCTTCATATACACTTTTGATGTAGAGAAATGATTTTTAAAGAAAGTGAATTTAACAGTTGTACAATATGAAAGTGAAGTATTCAAAATATAGACTATTACATAGTAAACAAATATAATTCATATAAATATTTCAATCTGCATTACTGTGAAATCACAAATTTTCATGGGGGTTTCATTTTTGTTTTTGAGACTCACAAAATCATGTCCATCACCAAATGTTAAATGATACATACAAACAAAAGTACTTGATAATTCTTAATCCATGAAATACAGCATACAAATCAGTTACCATGATGAAAACAAATCTTATTTTGTTTGATGAATTATTCATCAATAATCTTCCCTCTGATTTTACTTATTTCAGTTTCTTTTTTGGCTTCCCAATCATCATTTTCTGTTATCTTGTTTTTCCTGCTCATTCTGGAGAAAAAAGATGTTATTTGCTGCACGGAGAGAATCTCTTCATACGAAAAGCGCCTTGTACCATCTGCTCTTCTTTCATACATCATAGACTCAGAAAGTAGAAAGGGATCCTCCTTTTTTCCAGTTTGGAGTCCAACATTAAATTTTTGGAGCAAAAACTCTCGCTGATTTTCATTAAATCTCTTTGAACATCTCTCTTCTTTCAGAGCCCAACCTAAAGTCAAATCACTCTCTGAGGTCCGTATCTCTGTGTCTGCAGTCAAAGATAATTTCAAGCTTAGCTGTTCAGAACTGGTTATTTTCTTGATGTATTTTGTTTTGGTAATATCAGATATGGAGCTGGAACTCAGTTCCAATTCAAGGCTACATTTTCCAATTAAGAGGTGGTTGGATAACTCATCTGTTGAATTAAACGCTGCAACACATCCCTCATTTGGACACTGAAAGGTCTCTGGCTTTGGGGTTATGCTGTTGGTTTTTACAATATGAAAACCGACATCCTCTGGTTTCTCCAAAGTTGTTAAAGGCATTGGAGTAATTCTGGGAATGGCAGCATTTGGGACTAATAAGCCTACAATTAAAGAATAATACATGTACAAGAAGAATTTTTAGTGACTCCTCCCTATTTTTGTCTTTTCTTGGTTATCTCCCCTTGGGAAGAGACTTGCCCCTTCATTTTAACAAATTAAAATTCCCTTTTAATCAAGGATGCTTTGTATCAAGTTTGGTTAAAATTGGCACATTAGTTCTTAAATCTTGAGTAGAAGCAGAAAATAAGAAAAGATATGTAATCATTTACATGAAATGTTCCTATAATTTCAAATTCATGCATCAATGATAAAATTTTAAACATTTACTGTTGATGATTTGTTTATGAGAAGCGTTATATTTACAATGTTTACCTGAGCCAATACCATATGCTTTCCAAACACGTAAGCCCCCTTCCTCAAATGCAAAGTTGGAATAAGAGCTAATGGCAGGTATGGGCTTGAATGATGTCTTCTGTGAAGCAATTTCTGAAACACTAACCCTGTACTTCACATTCTTCGCCGTTTTCTCAATTGCCTAAAATGAATAAATGATTTTAGTTTTCTCTTTTTGAGGTTACTTAAATATTTGAATGGTAATAATTTTTAAGTATCATGAATTTCAGCAAAGAAATTATCTTATTAGAAAATCATTGAGATTTCTAACCTCTTTCATTGAATGTGCTGTTAGAACATCATGTCCCTGATTTACAAAGCGGCGGATAGCTGCCTTCAAAGTTGCTCCAGTCCTGTCACAGGGGCCCTTGCCGTTTTGTGCTTCGCAGAAGTTGAAGGAGCGGACCTTGCCATAAGACTTGAGGACAGCCATCATCTCTGTAGACTTATAGCAGCCTGCATTGTCAGACCAGAGATGGAAAGATGAAATTGATGCATCAATTGACTGAATGTTGTCCATTACATCAATGATGATGGCTGCTGTTGTCATGCTGTCCTGTGATATCTGGCTCTGAAATATATGAACAAAGCCTACACTCTCAATGCAAGTTTCTGTCTTGTGGAAAGCCATTGTTATGTGCCAAGGTAGACCCCTTTTCCCGAACCAATCACTCTGGTCTTCCCTGTATTTTCTTGGTAAATATTTCATTGACCAATCACATATCAAAAGCACTTCATTGGACTGCATTGTGTTAAAGAGATCAGACTTTGCTACATCCTGGTTTCTGCACCGAATAAGATGGCGTTTCAGGTTTGTGATACTTCGAGTAGCATTTTGGAGTTTGAAAAGTAAATCACTCAGAAAATCCATCAAGCCATGATTGTTGGAACACTGGATGGTCTTCATCAAAGAAGAAATTGCATCCTTCATTTGTTCACAGGTCACACAAACTAGATCATGTGGATGTTGGCAGGTGGCAGCAAATTCAGGATGAAGTGGATCACTGAGGGCATAGGTCTGGCAATGGTCCGCAACTTTGCTGTCTGGGGAGATGTGTGTCTAAAATGAAAATAAATCCTTTAAAAAACTGAATTTCTGTAAATCACTGAGCTTAACACATTTTGTCTAGTTTAACAGACCAACATATGCACACTACATGTAATCATCTATGATATCCTATCTTTATTTTTGATTACTTATATAATACCTTGAAATCTGCACGTAGATACTGTTTACATTGGAGAAATAAGGCACTGAAGTCTTTTTTCTCATGTTGGTTTAGTAGCTGGTATTTCAGGAGGTCCTCCAAAGTGTCCAAAATAGTACGAAATGCTCGACCTCCCTCAGCAATGAAGTAGTCAACGCCCTCAAGACTGGTTCTTATTTGTGCTCCACACTCAGACAGTATCCTATACATTGTGCTGTCACCTAAAAATGTCAAAATATTGCATTATTTGCAAGATATATAATTTTGTGCGAAGCATATTTTGCACATTTAGTTTTAGTAAACATATATATATATATATACACTTATGTAATTAGTATCTATATTATTTTTGAAGAAAGTAGTAAATCTTCAAATAATATAATGTATAACAATTTTTAAAAAAATATGTATCTTTACTAACCAAGAGGTGAAATGTTATTTTCAGAGCAATATCCTTTATACTGTTGAATAACATCACTGGATCCCATGCAACGAATCACATTTGGCATTTCATAAGTTGTTCCATCTGATAATTTGATTTTTCTTTCTCCATACGGTAGATCACAAATAACATGAGGGGAGGTGATAAAATCAAGGAAGCTGTCCAACTTCACAGGATCCATTCTTTTTCTTGTAGAAGTGATATTCACCGGAAGACCAGGGCCAACACTCTTTGCATGATTCTTTGCAGCATAATACTTTGATTCTGTTACATCTGGTAAAAGGGATTTGGCCTCTTTGAATGATAATGTTTGCGTAAAAAAAGAGAGAATTTGTCGTCTGTGGCGCCATGTTTCTGAAGTTTGATATGCATGGATAAGTGGTCCAAAACTACCCTCAGGTATAATGCTGGGTGAAACATTTGGATTCTCGTCAGACACAGTGAGACTCTTTACTATTTCCTCGGTGTTCTTCGGAAAAATAACAGCAATCACTTTGGCAATTATATTTCTAAATCGTTTGATGTAATATGATTTCGCTGACTTGGTGTAAAAGTCCCACTGGTATTTCCTATCCTCTGAAAATTCCCTTTCACCAATTCTCCTCAAATATGCATTCAGGTGTTGAATTTCATGACTTAAGGTGAAACTCTGGCTTGAGTTCTGTAAAAGACAATGTATGTATTTAGATTTTAATAATACGAGACTTCATTTAAAAGTTACAATTTTGGTAAAGGACTCAATGCTTATGCCAAATGTCTGACTGCTTGATGTCCAAGAGTAAAAGAGAATTTTTAAAGATTGCATTAATTTAGTGGTTTTAGACCCACCCCTCATACCTTAGGGTGAAAAGGGGCAGGGACCATGAAATGCACAATTTTTATTCCCCTTGACCCATGGATGCTTCATCCAATATAAAAAAAGTGAGCAAGCTCACATACCCCACTCTCCCCAAAAAGTCAAAATGCTGAAATTCTCAGAAAATTAAGGAATCTGAATTTCCTGGAAATATGCACATCTACACATTGTGTCCTAGTAATATCTGTAAAGTTTGCTGATACATGTATTGTGTGTAGCAAATTATGAGGAGCTAACAAAAAAACAGGACTGACTGACTGATGGACAGATCAACAAGAGGCCCATGGGCCATATCCCCCACATGAGCACTGTGGCTGGGAAAAAGTAGAAATTGGTTTATTATTGAATAGTTTATATCCAAAGGTAGTCCCATCACCAATCATTGCTTTGCTATTCTTGATAAGAAGATTTTAAAAGAATTTTTTATTATATGTCTATATAAAAATTTGATTGGTCATTGTGGCCTCACCATACCCCCCGGGGGTCAGGATTTGAACAATCTTGAATCTACACCACCTGAAGATGCTTCCATATAAATATGATCAATTATGGCTTTGTTATTCTTGATAAGCTGATTTTTAAAGAACTTTCCTCTATATTTCTATGTAAAACCTTGGTCGGCCATTTTGTTCTGCCCTACCCCCCGGGGTCATGATTTGAACATACTTGAATTTAAACTACCTAAGGTTGTTTCCCCATAAGTTTCCTCTTTCCTGTCACAGTGGTTCTTAAGAAGATTTTTAAAAGATACCACTAAATTTTCATGAATTCCCAATTATCTCCATTGAAAGCAGGCTTGCCCTTCATTTGAACAAACTTAAATCCCCTTCATCCAAGGATGCTTTGCGGCAAGTTTGGTTGAAATTGACCAAGTGGTTCTTGAAAAGTGTACAACGACAAGAATGTCAAAAACAACAACAACGACATACAATGGACAAATTGTTATCAGAAAAGCTCAGGTGAGCTAAAATATTATTGGGTATAAAAATTGGATGAGTTTTGCTGAGAAGAAGCTATAATAATGATCAAATGCTAATGCACAAATTGCATGACAATTGACAAAAACAGATAGCAAAAGGTCACCTGAGGTGACCTAAAAATATATATTATACTAACCTGAGAAAGGCATCCCATGTCACTTTCAATGGAACTCTGAGTCATGCTACTTTCCAAGGAAGTCTGAGTGAGGATATCTTCCATAACCTGAATTCAAATTATTAGATTTATATACATGTACTATATAATTATGAATATCAAAAATGCTTTCGTAAAGATGTTAATATTATTATTTACAAGAGGCCAATGGACCACATCGCTTACCTGAGCACCAAGGGTAGGACTAGCATAAAATGGATTTTTATTGTAAAGTTTAAATCCAAAAGTAGTCCCATGACCGATCATGGATTTGCTATTTTTTTTAAAAATGATTGAGAAGAAGATTTTTTAAGAATTTTCCAACATATTTCTATGTAAAACTTTGGTTGGCCATTTTGGCCCTGCCCTACCCCCTGGGGTCATGATTTGAACAAACTTAAATCTACACTACCTGAGCATGTTTCCATACAAATATGATGAATTATGGCTTTGTCATTCTTGAGAAGAAGATTTCTAAAGAATTTTCCTATCTATTTCTATGTAAAACTTTGGTCCGCCATTTTGGCCCCGCCCTACCCCCCGGGGGTCATGATTTGAACATACTTGAATTTAAACTACCTGAAGATGTTTCCCCATAAGTTTCATCTTTCCTGGCACAGTGGTTCTTGAGAAGAAGATTTTTAAAATATACCACTAAATTTTCATTAATTCCCAATTATCTTCCCTTGAATAAGGGTGTGGCCCTTCATTTGAAGAAACTTGAATCCCCTTTACCCAAGGATACTTTGTGGCAAGTTTGGTTGAAATTGGCCCAGCAGTTCTTGAGAAGAGGTCAAAAATGTGAAAAGTTTACAGACAGACGGACAGACAGCAAGACAGACAGCTAGACAGACAGACAGACGCCGGACAAAATGTGATCAGAAAGCTCACTTGAGCCTTCGGCTCAGGAGAGCTAAAAATAGAAAAACGATTAAAAAAATATTTTTCATCGGATAAGATTTTTTTGAAAATGAATTTGATTAAAAACAAACAGGGATTACTTGTCAAGGACAGGTCAAAGTAAGAGATAAGGGCAAGTTGAGACATGAAGAGTAATGTATACATGTACTGAGTATTTAGCCAATATGCATCTGTCAAGCATTCAGATTCAATTAATCTGAGGCTATTATGGATTAGATCTATACATGTATCTTTAAGATTTAGTCAATTGCTCACAATTATCAAATGCAAGACTTACTGTTTCAGGTGTCTCTTTACATCCTGAATGGAATAAGGGATCCTGTAAATACATTAACAGTCTACAAATAAGCAACGAACAAAAGAGTTGTTTCGGGTTTTTTTTCCATTTAAAGTTTAGAATTTTTTTTTTTTTTAAGATTCCTTATGTTTCCTCTGCTTGTAAAAGTAGATTGGTACAATTTCAAATACATTTATATGTGCAATGTCATGACATTAAATTTAGGGTGCAAAATTGGGGTTTTCTTTAACATATTGTTGCTAGATTTCTTCAAAGATTTATCAATGCTTATATTTAAAACTAAAAAAACATTTCCTCATTCAAAGTCAACATCTTTATGATATGAAAAATCTGATATTTTATGCACATACATGTATTGATTTATTAATAGTTTTAAATATAATCCCTAGGTATAATGCTCTCAAGATGCAGATTTTTACAGAATATATCCAATCATTTAGTGAGGGGCATGCTCTTGAACCTTCTCACTGAATGCCATGCAATCAATTCATGAAAAGGAAGGGTTGTTCTTTAGACTTGGGGTGGGGAATTTCGGCACCTATAATAAATTGATGTAATCCCACAATCATTTTGGTCTTGCTTCTAGTGTCCTTATTGGAAGAGCAATCCCAAATCCTGGTTCTTCTACTTTTATCCCAGGTACTATTTCAACTCTTAGGGGCAACATAATCCGAGATTCCTCTGACTCTAACCCCTGCTTTTATATTGTGACTTGTGCAGGGGAGATCTCCCCTGCACAAGTCACAATATAAAAGCAGGGGTTAGAGTCAGAGGAATCTCGGATTAGGGGCAACACTGAGATGCAGTCAAATAATTTGCAAGATAAATCCCTGTAGTTACCTTATCACTTGGTTGCTCCCTTGTTTCTGAATGGAAACACCCGTGCATGTTAATGCTGGTCTCATCTTCTATCTTTTCATGTACTTGCATTCGTAGCTGTAAATTCATAAACATGTCAGTAAAAATATGATACATGAATGAAAATTAAATAATAATTCAAAATACTATTTTATAATTGCTGTGTAATTTTTTTACATGTTAAAACAAGATGTGTTTGTGAAACACTATGCGCCCGGCGGCAACAAAGTTCAAAAAATCTATATTTTTAGCATATTGGTCACAGTCAAGGTCACAAGGTCATTGACCGTGGTGTCGTTTGAAAGAACTTAATCAGTGGAGTACGCATCCCAAATATGAAGTCCCTATCTCCTATAGTTTAAAAGTTATGGCAAAAAGTGTAAAAAGCTATTTTTAGCATATAGGTCACAGTCAAGGTCATTGACCATGGTGTCATTAAAAGAACTTAATCAGTGGAGTATGCAACCCAAATATGAAGTTCTTATCTCCTATGGTTCAAAAGTGATGGCAAAAAGTGCAAAAAGCTATTTTTAGCATATAGGTCACAGTCAAGGTCACAAGGTCATTGGCCATGGTGTCATTTGAAAGAACTGAATCAGTGGAGTATGCATCCCAAATATGAAGATCCTATCTCCTATGGTTTAAAAGTTATGGCAAAAAGTGTAAAAAGCTTTTTTTAGCATATAGGTCACAGTCAAGGTCACAAGATCATTGACCTTGTTGTCAACTGAAAGGGCTTTATTAGTGGAGTATGCATACCAAATATGAAGTCCCTATCTCTTATGCTTTAAAAGTTATGACAAACAGTGGAAAAAGCTATTTTTAGCATATAGGTCACAGTCAAGGTCACAAAGTCATTGACCTTGATGTCATTTGAAAGGACTTTATTAGTGGAGTATGCATACCAAATATGAAGTCTCTATCTCTTATTGTTCAAAAGTTATGGCCAAGGTTAAAGTTGACAACAGACAAACAGATAAACAGACAAACAGACAAACAGACAGGACAAAAACAACATACGCCCGGGATCTATCGATCCGGGCGCATAAAAATTGTTGATAACCTAAATTGCAAGGTAAAAAGGTACATATAGCACACTTAGTTTTGAAAATATTTCATTGACAATATGTCAAAAGGATTTGACTTAAATTCCATAAGCATGCAATGACAATGTAGATAGACCTCTGAGTCCCATAACAGAGATGGACATGACCTATACAATATAGTGCAGTTACAATGATCACTATTTTCTAGTGATGGCAGTTTGTAACCAGTTAATCTATTACTCGGTGAGATCAGCGATGGAAATTGGTATAAAATTTGTAATGGGTTACTCAAAAAAACCAAAATACATGTACATGTATATGTAAAATTGAACACAATGATCTCCAAATTCATTTTTAGAAAATATGTTTCTGCACATATACAGGGTTATGATAATTAACCATATACAGCCGCTGATTTGGAGGTAGCTATATATGGCTTTCCGGATAGAGACCATGGGGTAATTGGTCAGTTTTGATTAAAGTGTTAATTACGGTGAAAACATTCATGTTGTTACAATGTACCCTGATAGTACTGCAGTTTTTTAATACATGTTATTACAAATGAATCCCTCTAAGCTCTGTAAATTGGTATGTTAGTGGTTTTCAGATATTTATCCTATCAAATCATTAAAAAATGTTATTTGAATCAAGGGTGCTTTTGTGACAACACAGAATAAACTTGTGTGACATCGACTTTAAGAGAATTATCAATGATTTTCTTAGACCTAATGTTTTTTTTTTTTTTTTTTTTTTTTTTTTTTTTTTTTTTTTTTTTTTTTTTTTAATTCTTGTCCACTGAAATTTAAATAAAAATATGCACCCTTAGTTTTCTGATCTGAGGAAGTAAAATATTAAAAATCCCTGTCATTTTCAATTTTTCACTCTTTTTGTGTTCACAGATAGAGCTACTTAAAAACAAATGGGTATGCAGTGAAGCTATTAAATCTATATTCCTTAATTATCAGGCAAAATGCTGGGAAAAGGTGCTATACATGTACCTTCTTGTAAATTTATTTATAATGAACCTAAGTTACCTTGTCCTTGACTGATGCTGAACACTCCTTGTTGGACAAATGATCTTCCCCTTCTTCGTGTTCTTCTCTTATTTTCTTTAAACACATGGTGCAGCATGCTACAATAAATTGTTTATTTTTTTTAACAATTCAATTTTTTAAGCACATTAAACAAAAATGAGTTGTTAAAGCCATTTAAGCGTATAATTTAACAGTGCGTACATGTTACTATATTTTGTATGTAATTGACAGGTCTAAAAGACTATTAACTTAAACAATAATTGGATAAACTCTTAAAAGATATTTGATTTAAAATCATAAACATATTATGACTAAGCAATCCAAATTGTGCCAATTCATACAGTACTGTACACACCACTAACATTAATAATTTATTAATATGGTATGAATCTATTGATTTCTTTTTTATCACTTGAGAGTGATTATATATACAGAGAATTCAGAAACATATTGATACACCTTATAAAATCTTGTTTTAATCCATCGATCTACTCTAACTTTGAAGAACAAATATAATATCACATACAGTATTAACCCTATGTAGGTATATTACTTACGCGTATTTACAGGTAGTGTTATACCAGCTTGACCAGTCAAATGAATGATATCGCTCTCCTTTAAACCCCTGCTGGCACATTTCATATGTGTTCTACTTGAGAGAGATCTAAGTCCATCTTCACTGGTGTGATCAATATGTGGATGGGAACTAAGAAGGCTGGGGATTTGGCAAAGCTTCCTTCTTGATCTCTTCGTATTTAATTTCAGATAAAAGTTAAAATGACTAGTGCATATTCGGTAGTCATTGTATTTAGCAAATGCAATGCACGGCTTAAGACCCACTTCTGACAAAATAACATGAACTTGTTCAATACTGAAATTCACAAGTTCATTAATGTCTTCAGAACAATCAATTTCACCTCTCCCAAGAAAGCTGCACTGCATGATATTGTGTCAAAAGACATAAAGTTAACCATGTTAAATCTTGAAAATACTGTAAAAATGAACTCCAGCCGACATGTTTACAAGTAATATTGTTTTCACCTCCTTTCACTGTTGCTACTAGAGAGTCTTACAAAGGGCAATAACTCCTTTGTCAAATACCCCTTTTTTTTAATTTTTCAAATGCATTTTATTTCTTTATATCGAAAAACACACATCCAAAATAATCATAAATGAATAAACAAGTATGTTTGCTTTTACAATATTGTCAATATTTTAAAAACCTATCTTGGGATATTTCATAAAATGGCACTAAAATCTTGGATATTTAGTCGTTTTGATAGAAGTTAAAAAGGGGGGTAACTAATTTTTTTTTATCGTAAAAACAAACATTAAGAATGAAGCAACATATTTTTTTCCTTATACTTCACATATGGTTCTTACAATTTAATGCATTTAATTCAATGGTAGGGCATTACATATACTGAGCATTTGAAGTCAAATTTTGAGAAAATTGGTCATGTCAAACATGGAGAATGGACACAAAATGTGTTAGGGGGCCATATCCTGGAGTATATGTCACAACCCAAATTTTTTAATATATATAATTAATCTCATACACATTCTTAATTTTTCAATATATGTTTTATTAAAATCTGTGATATTCGTTTGAACGGCGTCCGAGGTCCTTACAGAGAATGACTCTTAAAATGTATACGAAATGTGCATTTTACTTTTTCCGTTCTGCGTTTTTATTTACTTATTATGTACTTATACATGTTATAATAAACATTATTTGAATGACATTTTTTATACAAATATATTTAATTTGAACTACTTTGATACAGTACATGACAATGTTCATATTTGGTTCAATTACAGCATATTGCTCATGTCTGTATATCGTGTAATAAATTTCTCCAAAAGATATTCGCATCTTCATCAAACGCTTTCACCTGCACACAAGATATATTTGGATAGTTCAAATATTACTGCATTCCAAAATCAGTGTGAACTTTTTTTTCAATTTGGTTCGTTGTTTGGCAAATTTACTCTTTTTTACGTAAAAGGATTCTACAGCAATCTTACACATAAAGTTTGTTGCTGGTCTATTTCTTCTAAGACGATACCCATAGGTAATCTTTAAAAATGTTTGATTGCCCTCATCCTACCGACTGGCTAAAATGGCCCAACTGAAAACAGTTTTTATCCTCCAAGAAGCAATTTAAAAAGTTATCACCTATCTACGAATACCGACCCAATATTGCCAGACTGTGTCAAAAGAGGGCAATCAAACATTATTCTAAAGTTGACCAGCAAACATTATCTTAAGGTTGGCCTTACTTGAAAGCGTTTTGGTTACATATTGTCACTGCAGGGAAGATGAGTGAACTGTTATAGTTGACCTGGACGTTTACTGTGACAGGGTTACTGATGAAATAGCAGACACGGTCTATTATCTGGTACACGAGTACTCCAAGACACACCAAAAGCAACAGCAACCAAAACAGCCTGAAATATCAAATTAAAAATACACTGTTTATATCGTAAAACTTTTTTATTGGAGAAATATTGTTTTTTTTTTCTCCGTAGAAAAAGAAATGAAATGTTTTGTTTTTGTCTGCAATGAAATCTTAGATAAGAAGTTTCGATTAATTGTACTCATATACTTTAATAATTTTAGGCTGTTTAAAATTAAAACTACGTTTAACGTCACCCGCGCGCGTAGGTTTATGAGAAATTCGTCTTTGAAAAAACAAACAATTCGGAATTCAGTATGTCCGTTCCGGTTTGGTTCTTCAATTAGCGACTGAATTCTGCTACCCGTAGTAACAGAAAATGTGCTTTGAAAGCCGCAGTTAAGGCAGTTGGTGTCTTATGAAAGAAAACTAGAGAATTAAAGACTTTGGGACCATAAATGTAAGTAAAAAATAAATTATTTTATGATTATATTAATGACAAAGTCTTGTTTGTTGATTTTTTTGTCAGTCTTCGAATCATACGTGCAGACTGACAGTGACAGACTCTCATTTCGTGATTCTATTGGCTGAACTTTTCATTGTATTTTGGAGAGAATCGAAAAACTTTTCTTACTGAGTGGAAACTGTGTCAGAAACCAAGATTTATATACAGTGAAAAGCATCATTTAAATCTTACTAATATCTTTCATATTAAAAATATTTCATATTAAAAAATCGAAAGGAACAGTAATGAGTAAAGTAATTGATTTCTTCATAATTTATGTACCTACAAATAGCTACAATTTTTGGGAAAGATAATATACTTGTCATAACCATTTGAGCAGGGAGAAGCTTACCGAAGATAGGGCCTTTCAAGTGAAGGAGAGTAAGGAAAGTGGTTGGGGTATTCCAAGATGTGAAGAATCCTGTCTTTTGTGTGGAATTCAAGGTATTCATTTTAATAAATATAATTTAACAGCTATCAGTATGGTCAAAATATTAGTATTCACGCTTTCAAAACTTAATGCTAGTAGATCTAGTACTAAGAAAAAATACGACATAATTCAATTTGAGGATATTTCAACATGAACACTTTTAAATATTGTCATCAATAATTTTGACTGTAGATATTGATCAACTTTTCCCACAAGAAGAAGCATTTGCCTCCAGGGTACCATGGACGTGTGACAATATAAATCCAAAGGACAACTGAGGCCTAGTTAAAAGCCACTTTCCTGCACATTCAGTCTTAGACTACATTGTTTGCTAACAATAGGACTCAAACTGATTTACATACTAAGGAAAAACTCTGCAAGGGAAATTAATCTTAGGTGTCATATCAATTAAATGCTCTTATTACTTAATTGTAATGTTTTTAATGTACTGAATAGGTTAATTTAAATAAATTCACAATTGTTTGAAAATTTTGTTTGTTTATTTTTTTCCTCCCTCCCTCGTAGGTTTTGAACTTTAGATGTGACGTTAAACGTAGAATTAACTTTAAACAGCCTTACAGGAAACAAATACATAAGTAAAAGATCAAAATTAATTTTTAATAGCGAAGTTTAACAATTATTGGAGGAAATGTGATCCCTGGATTCCGATGAGAATATAATTATCACAGCATTTCCATTAAAACAAACAGATTGTAAAAAACCTATTTAACAGTTTTGAATTTTTTCTTTCTATTGCTTAATTTTTATTTACATGAGAGGTATGTTATTGTGTAAACACAATTCAACAATGACGTTAGTTACTGAATTAAGAAAAAACAAAATCAACTGATGGAATTTTCGTTGCACGCATTCTGCCATCAACTAAGTAAATCTGTTTTGAAAAGAATAATGTTTACTTATGACATGCACGACAGACTTGTTAATGGAACATTTGATTTGGTAAATCTCCTGAGAAAGGTCGGAAGAGGACAATGAACGACGGACTACAAGAACAATACTAAATTATTTAGATTATTTTAAATACTCATATAGCAGTCTAAACTGCGACGTTCAAGACTAACTTCAGCTTAATTTTATTTACCGTATTCCTTAATTAATTTTTTTTGTGCAGTCATGCAAAACTATATCAAAAAGATTTTCCCCTAAAACCCTCATAAAAATGTAAATTCAAAATTTTATTGTAGGAAATTGGAATTATGTTATTTCATTTGTAATTTGTAACAGCAGTAAAAACCGCCTAAATATCCATCCAAAACATAAAAAGAATGTATACAATGGTTCTAAACATGTACGTTTTGAAGATGTGAGCCTCATTCAATGCTGATCACGTGTAAATGCATAGGAGGAGTTGTGAATAAGTGATGGGTACCCCAATGTCAGAGAAAAATGATAATTTTCAAGTTTTGTATTTTGAAACTCCAAATATCTGTCCGATCAAAAGAGGTTCAGACTGGAAATATTAAATATTGTAGTAAGGATAGAATAAAAGACTCAATTAAATTTATTCATTTGTATAGAAGGAGTTCTAGATAAGAGAGTGGCTCCCTCTATGATAAAGACATACGGATGGACACCCCATCAGTCTTTAACTCCAGCATGTCAAGCGGGGTTGAAAAAAAAAATGTTTACTTCATGCCCTTTTAACATTATTTTTTAGTTCTTTTTCCTTTATGTAAAGAAGAAAATCGATTAGTAAACAATACAATTTATTCATCAATTTTAATTAAAATGTCAATAGCAATATGTAATTGTAAATCATGTGTTAAAATTCTCTGAATCTCTTCATTCTTAAATCATTTGAGAGCATACATTGCAATAGTTAGAAAACACACAAAGCAATATATGAATTAGGGAGATAACGAACAATATTCAAGCTCAAAATCCCTTGAAGGATGGAAGCAGAGCAAACGCGGACCTCCAAAAACATCAGAGTGGATCATTTACGTATTTTTCATGAAGATAGAAAAAACTGAATGTAGCAAATGATTGAAAGATACTAGACATTGATAATAATCAGCCATTATTGGAAGGTGTCTCTACTTGATGGGGTTTTGCAATGGATCTACATAGTCGGACACTTAGATTTGCATTTTTCCGTTGACTTAATTGCTAAGAGCTTCTCCAGTTCTTTGATACCAATTTTAATTCTCTAAAGCATGTCGATATAAATGTTCTGTTATGAGCAGGAGATTGTCAGACTTCAGTTAGCATCCGTAATGTAAGCTGTTATTTACATGTTAATGGCAAAGGCAGGAATCAATTCATTGTATGATAGTGAAAAAACAGGGCTTAATTGGATAAAAGCTGGAATTATTTAGGCTAAATTTAATAGTCATTTATAAAACACTGCATCCAGTCCATTATGTGTATGTTAATTAAAAGGAACAAAACTCTTGAAAAAATTTCTTTCTTTCTTAAAATATTAGTTTACTGTACTTGAAATATTACTGATAAATTTGACTCAAAGAAATCCAAGTTCCTTTAATCTAGTCTTAGATACCGATGTTTCTTTGGTATGATACATGTAATGAGAGCTGATTCATTGTGATTGCAATGATAGGAAACGCTTCATTCATTTTGCGAAAGAACATTATAAAGATAGTTTTAAAAAAACTTTAGTACCAAATAAAAATCATGCTATTTTTTTTTTTAATTCCCGAATAACTATAGTTTGATATCAAAAATACATCAGTAAGTCATTCCCTTTATCATACGGTTAACTTTCATGATGAAGTTAATTTGAAGTACCTTGGCTAAATGAAATAACTTGAAGAATCCAGATAAAATATTTTTGAGCATTTTTTAGTATTATCCATTAACAGATTTTAATAACATAATGTATAGGAAGTGTCAAACAATAACATCAAAAGCATTTTTTAATGAAAACTCTCTTTTCTATTGAATTGTTATTTCTAGTGACATAATAATTGTTCTATGTCATTCTGGACTAGGATATTTTTTTCCCCTTAAATATATAACATGTGAATGAATTATCTAAATTTACATGAAGATAAAATTTCATTTATCTTCGTCAAATGTGATCAAAACATGCAAAAACATGCAAAAGTTTCTGCGGTTTCTGCAGCTTGTTATTGAGTTGTTTACCGTCTGTAGAGTAATGTTAGATCAATAGGACGATTATCTGATGTAAAGTGTTCCTAAAACTGGAAACGGTTTGAAGGAAAAGATTTAGAGAGGCGTCTTGTTTAAAGTTTTTACCTGTAATTAGTACTTGAAAACGTACTTGAACAATTCCAGAATAGGTACTTATATTATTGAGATATATTCATTTTGTTTAAAACATTGTATTTAAGTTCAATAGAAATACTTCAAATTTTGAACACTTTCTTTTCATTTTCTCCATAGGCATTTAAATGAAGGTCAGATAATGTTTTATTTCTAACTTTAAAAAAAAGTACATTTTATCGGAATTCCAAAACAATAATATCTTCTACTTTGATACAATAGTATAGCTTATGCAACTGTATTTTGAATACGTCAATGGCGCATATTTTATTTGGATGAAACACTAAAAACTAAGTACCAGTAAAATTATTTTGATGAGGAGAATACTTAGACTCAAGGTCATATCCAATTTCAGAAACGTAAAATTTAGGTCATTCACATTAGAACAAATGTAAATGTTTTGTGTAAGGTTGCTCTAAATGAAAGTCTTGTTTTGTAGAAAATTGCTTTTATCAATGACTTAAAAAATCGTTAAACTTCAATTAAAAGTTATATAATTACATTAAATAACTTAATTATAGATATCAAACATTTAAACACGATAATATGCATGTGACTGAAATTATTGATGCTTTTTCTTTTAGAGAAAAGGTACACGCCACTACTGAAAAAGTGATTTTGAAATCTCATTCTTTTCTACGTACGAAACTCTGATTGCGAGATATTTCGAATGTTCAATAAAAAGTTATTTTTAAAAAAGGAGCAGATATATTGTGAATATTGCTTTATCAAGAAAAAAAGAGTGTAGAAACAGCTTTAGACAAATTCGTCCTGAAACATGTAGCGTAACTTTCTAAATATTTTGAAATATTATGGCATAAGATGTGGTCTTCAGCTTAAAATGTGCATTTTTATATAGGGAATTTTTACGGAGGAAACTTGTGGGTTCTTAACCCAACAATCCGTTTGAATTGAGGTGTTTATTATTTTCTCTATCTTGTAAGCACTACTCCAAGCGAGACGAAAGATAAAATAAGTGAGCACGTGGCTTTTAATGTTAGGGTCAGGGAAGGATTTTTATTGATTCCTGTCATTACTTTTGCCAAAAATAAGATATCTGTGGGTATGACCTGAAAGTCAAGTCTGGTTAATGCTGAAAGAAAAAAAGAAATGACTTTCCTAGAAATATCTGTTATCTTTAATGAATTCTTCAATGGAAAATATTTAAGAAGTTGGAAAAGCGAAAGGCTTATAAAGGTTTATGGGAAGGATTGATATTTCAAATAATTTTTCTATTTTGTTCCAACTAATTTTATATCATATTATTAGTAATTTTTTGTAGTCTGTTTAGACATGTCATATGCAAGTAATTTGCAGCGGAGATTCTCATTTCTTTTCATCCGTCAAAAATATCAATTAAATAAATTAAATACACATATATATTGCAAGCTTGCAAATCTTTAAATAATAAATCTAGAGGAGTATTAAAGAGATTTTCTAGATCTCCAAAAATCTTATTTTTAAATTTGTACACCCTCAAAATTAAACAGTTTTCATAAGTTGAAAGGGTAAAAGGAAATTGTTTAAATTCACTTGGTTGTGTTTTGTAGATGAATATATGAAGGAATCGTGCATATAATTTTCTAAAAGGGAAAATTTCAGTAACGTACCGCCTAAAACAACCTGAAGATGGTTCCGTCACATATTTGATCCCGTGAACTGAGCTGGTATCTCCGAACAGATAAAATTCCTCACAGAGTGAATTCTTGTCTCTCTTTATCTGTTGCTGTTCCATTTTGGCACTGGAGTCTAACATATTGATCATCTCCTCCCGTATAGCACCATTAGTCCCGGTGTGATCGTGGCGAACACTGGACATCTACGTTGCAATTGAGCTTCTTATATACATTTTTTACATGCAGCGATGGATTAGGATAGCTTAAGTATCGAGACATTTAAACAACTTTCAACAATATTGTTATTTAATATAACATCTACGTAGATGCAATTACATAATGATATTTAAAATCATAAAAGCTTAAAATAAAAGAAATATTATATACACATTTTTTAGAAACGAAACGAAACGAAACGAACTGAAACATGAAACAAAACTTTCAGAATGTTTAAGCGGAAGGATGGAGGCTTTTCCAACAAAAAAGGTAAAGGATTTTCAATGCCTATATAATAAGTATATATCTTTGCAAAAAAATTGTGTGTGTGGGGGGGGACATTTAAACAACTTTCAACAATATTGTTATTTAATATAATTCATTTGTATTCGTTTCGAGAGACTTTTCTTGTCAGTTAAATCGTTTTAGATTTCTCAGCTCTTTATTGCAAACCAGAAAATTACCTCGATAAAAATGTACCTGATTGCTATGTACATAAATGATATTTAAAATCATAAAAGAATAGAGTAAAATAAAAGAAATATCTGAAAATAAGAGTAAGATATAAAAATTATTGAAAAAGTCTCGTGTTTTGCAGCTGGCAAACATGTTCATAAATATCACTAGGCAACACTTGAACTATATAAAATCAGTGCAATTACACACATATATATGTACCTTGATTTGCAAAAAAAAACAAAACATTTTGATAGTTTTGTTTCGTTTCGTTTCGGCAGGTTTCCGATTAATTGTATTTGACTATGAGTCATCAAAGTAATTTTACAATGTACATATAATTTTCAATTTTTTTTTTCAAAGAAAAAATCCCATTCTACATTTAAGGTCAGAATTAAAACGGTCAAAATGGAAACTTGACAGCTTCTTAAAAAGAAAACTTGAAGGGTCGCCCGCGTAGCGCAGTGGTTAAAAGAAAGTTGGGTCTGGCGCTAGTGCCCACATGCACATACATTTAAGGAAATACTTTCCTGATCATGATGACAAGGAGCTCACGGTGTATGTGACGGGTCAGCAGGGATGCTCACTCCTCCAAAGTACCTGATCTTATCTCTGATGTTTTAGAGGTTTGTGTTTCCTCAGCTCCTGATTTGCGTAGCTTGAATGGACTTTTGAGTTTGAATTCTGTTCATTGTCTTCATGTAGGGTTTTGAATAGCTTAGAAATACAAGTATGTGCAATTTTAGAGATGTGATTTGTCCTTTGTGCCAAATTACACTTTCCCACCTTACGTAGAGTATAGTTTTAGAAGTCAATTTGTGATTTATTATTCTAACATAACCCTCCTATTTAACAGTGCGAGTATTTGTGGTCTAGCTATTAACAATTAACGAATTTATTTTTTGAAAAGTAGTACAAATATTTTCAAAACTTAATATAGCGTAATAACCTTATAATTTCCTATTTTACATACTTTCATAATGATGGCTAATATGTCAGTCAGCCAATTTTGTTATTCGAATTCATAATTCTTTTTGTTACATAAATAAAGTAGAAAGTAGAAATAAAGTAGGACGGAAAACAAGTTTCAATTCATATAGTATAGATAGTATTAATGTACATTGAAAATGATAGCTATGAAATATGAAGTTAACAAACAAAAACCATGCTCAAACGTCTATTTAACCAACACAAATTGTGGTAGAGCCCACACAGTCCTCTAGAAACATAGGTAGGATGAAGTGCCATGGAGGCATAAACATCCCTTGTCGGCCGGTTAAACATGTCGTGTGCTCTCTGTCATCATCGGAAAATAATGGCCTCACAGTTACAATGTGTAAAAAATAACGTTATAGTCATCATTTTAACGATCACCCAATTGTATTTTCTATCTAGGTCATTGTGTCGACCAGAGAATTTGGTTAAAGTTACTTCAAACGAATTGTTATCTATGTATTATCAACCTATTTGATCTTAGCTTGTGACGTTTTCGAAAGTGGTAACTTGTACGCATGATCGTGCAAAGAGAAATCAAGTCCAAATTCAGATACATTTAGTTGTGGTGCTATATGTAATGTTCTAAAGGGAAAAAAAACTATAAAATATTCATTCACTATCTATCATAATGGTTAGGGTAAATATATATAGAATATAACTAAAGAATAAATACTGTAGGTCAAAAAACAAATACTATGTTGTGAATTAAGGGCTAGTTGTTTGCTCATAAGGAGTATTTAATCAATATTCTGTACGTTTATATGACGAATTTTAATCTTCAATATTTATATATTTGACCGATTTGAAGTCAAATATAATCTATATATTGTTGTATCACATTTATCATTGAAATCGAAGCAGTTATTTTTTACCTATTATTTTAAAACAACTACAAATCCGCCAAGGAACTATGATCATTTAATATTCACTTTAAAATTAATTTCTTGAAAATTAATTTATGCATATATTGATGTACATTAATTCATGTTTCATCTTCTTTTATTTTTTAATAAACCACTTGTGTGTGTAAAAAGTTTGGAATGTCATATATATTTCCAGTTGAATATACGAAGAAAATTACACTGAATGTAAGTAATTGTATCATTTCACACAGTCAAGGTTTATTCATCCGTAAATCGGGAGTGTTAAATTAGATGTATATTGATTTATACACAATCAACAACCTATGAGTTAAAGGTTTAATAATAATCGGTTAATCTCTTATTTGTGTTTGTTTATATAAAAAAAAACAATATGTGTTTCTCTTAATTTATACTTGCCATTATTGGTGCTGAACTTTCTTTAGAAACCATACATACTGTAATGCTGAAATGGAAATAAAAATTTATTTTATGAAAGAAAGAAAAAGTGCATTTCCACTCATTTTAAATAAAATCAAAGTCAATAAGTTATGTTAAGATGGGATTGAAGATAGATGTCATAAGGTATTATGTTTGCTCCAACCCCCTTCTTACAAGCAAAACTAAAAGTCATTTTTTTATCCAATAAGCAACAGCAGGATGTAAGTCCTAATGCTGTAATACAGTTATTTAAAGAAATATAATAGCACATTCTAGCCAGTGATGAAAATGTAAAGATGCACTTTTTAGGATAACATAAAACTAAGGTTGATTCTGTTTAACTTTTTACAAATATGTACATTGAATTCCATATAATAAGTCAAAAGCTTTTAAGAGTATAAATTGTAGGGCAAAAGTTAATATATACGTAAGTAAAAAAAAAAATGCAGATTTTAAGATTTAAAAAAACCTGCCACCAGCTTAAACTTTTTGAGTCTTTTATTATTTCTAAAAATTGTATCTTTTACAATATCAATACCCATTACATGTATTTGACTTAATAAGGCCATAAAAATTAAAAGCAAATGATAATTTTGATTTTAGAAATTAGGAATGTTCTTATTGTCTAAATACTCACATGAACTTTATTGCAACATCCGAAATTACTCCAGTTTAGGCTGTTCTTGATGATCCTTAGACTTTTATTCACAACCCTAGAATGGTGCAATTGAATATCTCTAGCTTCTCAAAAAAATTTGATGTTAGGCAAAAAAAGGTTTTAGGTATTAAATTTGGCTTGTATAACAGATTGTTTATATACATGATATACTTGCCTAGTAAAACACAACTAATATTGTAACATCTTAATTTCTGTCGATACAGATATTGTCTGTATCTTCTAAATATGTGAGCATCTATTCAGAATGTTTGACGGCTTAATGATGCCATTAGACCAATCCATTGTTCGATGCACTTGACGTAATAATATGTCCTTTATGAACTTAAAATCGATTACTCGACCAAAAAGTACTAACTTGTAGCTTTCATTAACAATAAACTAAACTACATGTATCTTATAACAGTGTTATTGGGTCATATTCCAGTTTCCACTGAACTATAATCCAACTAATAAACCATAACTTGCAAGGTCAGATAATGGGCTCTTCGAGATTACTTGTCAAAATCCCTCACTTGGATGAAGAATAAAATGAATTTGGTTTTTACAGTAAGATATGTGAATTCATTCATGAATGCTACAGGGGTTTTCTTAGGAGTGGGGGTGGGGGGGGGGGGTTAAAGTTCATGATTTATTTCGCAAGTGTGAAATGTAAAACATTGACTTTCTCTTTTTTACAATTTCTTTAACTTTCCATGTCCTTTTAGCAGTTGTATGACGTCAAAACTTACACATTTGAATAAAGTCGAGTTTGATGGGCTTAATATTAAAATCTTTCAAAATGGATGGAGCATTTTAAAATCGTATTAAAAAGAGCAGAATACGATTTATCTATCCTTCCGTACTAGGTTGACCGAAAGTGATAAAAATAATTATGAATTCACCAGTTCAAACGAACATAAAAATAAATAAAAACTCAAAACACCAATATATGGTTGCGCGAGTGCAACAGCTTTTTAATTTTACAATCGTTATAACATTAAATAAATCAATACATCACTACAAAAGAGAAACATAAGTTAATGAACACATTCATGAAAAGAAAAACCATACAAAATAATATACTTGTTTTTTAGGCCGAAATCGAATGACTTAAAAAACCCTTAATACAACCCAATATTTATATTAGCATGATTTTATGAACCGCGAATCTTAAACCAATTCTTATACAGCGTACGCCCCCAAATTCCGTAAACAAACCAACGTGTTTACCGTAACTTTTATAAATATATAAATACTACAGAAAAATTATGATTTGGTTCCCGCAGACTATTCATAATAACTGCATTTTGGATGAACTTGTTTTTGATCCAAATCCTGTTATCTAGCTTATAATCATATTCATATGAAGCAGAGTTTGTGCAAAATCTTATGCGTGAAAAGAAGAAAACTTTGGCCTTCAACTCGACGTTTAGGTATATCGACGACGTATTGTCAATTAACAATGGTAATTTCCATTCCTACGTCGATACGATATATCCTGGTGAGCTTGAGATAAAAGATACTAAAGAGTCTGACACATCTGTTTCATACTTGGATATTTTACTTGAAAAAGACGTAAAAGGTAATCTAACAACCAAGCTATATGATAAACGTGATGACTTAACTTTTCTATTGTCAAC